AGGGATCACGCAAAGTGCGCTCCAAGATATCTTGGAGATCATCGTAAATGGCAGGGAGGCCAAAAGGTAACATCGCACTGTCGGCCTGTTTCATTCTCTATTTCGAATAAATCTGCATAACAAATTTTAAAAAAATATATCTATACACCGTGACGACTTCAACTGCACCGAAACGAGAGATGAATTGGTTCTTTTCACTCAAACGCCGAAGTGAAAATGTTCCACAGTTTAAGAAGTTAAAAATGTTCATTTACAGAAAACCTGGTTATATATAGTATCAACTCGAAAAGTATCCTTCCATCCACACATGAGTAAAACAGTTGGAATCTCTCTACAATGAAATTCAAGGGGCCAGAAAAAAAACGTTGTAGACAGAATTTCATCACAGAAAATCCCTAGATTTTTGGGTATAGAGAACCCTACTATGGCACCAAACAAAATTTCGTTATAGAAAGAAATTCGTTGTAGTCAAAATCGCTGTAGAGAGAGAGTCCATCAGTATTTGTTTTCCTGTAAGCTGGTTACTGCAAAAAATGAGAAATGTAATTTTCAAAGTCACAGTATTTCTTCACGAGCCTTGTCTGAGAGGGGATCATTTTGGCTTTTGCGTTACTGAATTCTAAACTTCAATAGAAGCTGCTCAAATGGAGACCAAATGGAGACTGTCACTGTTTTCATCACAGGAATTCGGCAAGATAACAGCTGAACCTCACTGACTCAAATTCCAAGGGATCCACCAAAACATTTGACTTGGGAAAACTATCATTTTCGCCTTGAAAAAAGATGATTGAAGGACGTTGATACCAGTGTTTCTACATGTTTTTTTGTTGCCCACAACTCCCATGTGAAGAATTTGACAGAATGCTGATTGCAGGAAAAGGCTCATTTTCCAAATTAGTCTTTCACTTCCTTTCAAAAAGTATCAAGTTACATTCTTGTTGCTTTTGTCTTTCCTGAGTCAAAAGAATAATAGCCTCCAGAAAATTGGAGTTATACAAGTTTGAGGGGTTAAAAGCCTTTTGAGTGAGTGAGGGTTTCAATTATTTTTTCCAAGGGAATCCAGACAGGGAATGACAATAACAGATCACCTGGTAAACAAAACAAAAATACTACCTTTCATCCCGTCGAGTTAAAAAAATAATAATTTATCCTTTGACACTTAGTGCTTGTCAACTGTATCACGTCCTTGTCTATAAGGGTCCAAGTGGAAAGAACCAATAAAATATGAAAAAAAAATCACGCTTGAGCACTAATAAATCAACCACCATGTTTTTCCTCAAAACCCCCGACTAGCTGAAATCAACCACAAACAAACTGTCCTCGTTCCACCAAAGGTTCACGAAACATCAGTCGAAAGCTTTTCCCATCGGGTTTTCCAGCATTCTCGACGTCATCAAAATTCCACGTGGCCTTTGCATGAAAATAGCACAGAGATGAAACAAAATAATAATCCGTCTCCTATATGCATGTACACTGACGAATCATCAGTCACAATAACAAAAAGGAGACAAACTATCCTCAGCAAGCACCGACTGCAGGATCAGCACCGGATCTTTTCGTCACAAGGGGCTTCACCAATTCTTCCGCATTCGTTGGATGGATCCCAACACTTCTGTCCAAAATTGCTTTCGTCAACCCAGCTCTGATGAAGATGAAAAACATGCCATTGGATCACTTCGTACAAACACAGGCTTCCTATAATCAACAACCTCGCAGATAATAAATACAAATGAGCCTCTGATGAGCCAATATCTGTATTTGGATAAACCTCAGGATAACGCAACCTTATTTCAAAATGAGTCCCTGTATATAACAGAACTAATCCATTCTTGGGTGCATTTTTCTTATACTGTACAGAACTGTTGTCTTAACTGATATGAACAAATTTAATTGTATCTCAAAATTGCTGATCAGGCAAATGAACTTTGGCAAGTTGAATACCAATCACTGACTTGGGTTTGGAAATTTAAATCATTTTCTGCAAGCTTTTAAAGAATACAAGGAATACTCTCAAGAGAGGTTTTCATACAGGAGTGTTTTATACAGTAAAATCCCATTACAGCAAACTTGTGGGGACTTCAGAAGAAGTTTGTTATAACAGATCATTTGTTATACACTATATACAGTATCACGATTTTCAAACTCTTTGACAGATGGCAAGATTTTCTGAAAAGTAAACCTGCAGGCTTTCAACAAATTCCTTTTGTAGCTTTTTTTTAGATATTTCTCAGCATTTTGAAAAACTGATATTTTCAAAAAGACATTTATATGCTAATAACAAGCAATTAATCTGAATAACAGATGTAAACTAGAACTTTTTGTTGTGTAAGGTTTTCCAAGCAATTCCTGCACAGATTTGGAAGGTTGGATGTTCCAAAAAAGCTTACAATTGTCCAGCATAAGTATTGTTTCTCAAGCATAGAAACCCTTTCTAACAAGAGTTTTGTTGAGTTCACTTTTTCCATCTACAGGTACTACAAAACACAATTTTCCTTAAGGTTGCAGCAAGGGTGAATGATGTACTGTGTGCCAGACACTCTAAAAGAGGCCAGAATAAACCATTACAGCTTCATATCTTTCCCAGTTTTTTGCAAGAACATTCTGAATTTTAAATCCATCAGTATGCAATTTTTGAAGGTTTGAGCTTGAACTTTCTAAAATTCACAAGTTCTTAAGACAAGAAGAGGCAAAAGTAAAGTACTGTACATACCTTTCTTTTCTCATTTCCTTACACTTCGGAAGTATTCCAGCGACTCCCATAAAGGAATTGTTTCACATAACGAAAATTTTGGCCCAAAAACGCTCAAACTTCCGCAAATTTTCAAGTTTCAGTCGGAAATTTGAGCGTTTTCGAGCTGACAATTTTCGTCATGTCCCATTAATATTCTCACTACGACAATTTTTCGTTTCTCTTTTTCGTTATGCGGGGACTCACTGCAGACTTCGGACAGCAAAATCCGAACAATTTCGAAAAATGAAGAAACTCACTTCATGGCCACTCCGAACCCTTGAACAACTTCTCCAGCGTTTGGACCCAAAAAGTGCAGTCCAAGAACTTTGCCGGGCTTCTCTCTTCCCGTGATGATTTTCAAATAACACTGCTTTGCGTCAATTTGCGGCAAGTAGAATTCCAGCGGCTTATAGAACGCATGATACACCTTTGAAAAAATTCAACAAAAATCTTCAGAAAAAAAAACCGACATAGTTCTGTTGAGAACTCAGCAGGATGTTGGAAATTTGAGGCGCGAAAAATAATCATGAAAAAGAGTAAACCGGAAATTCAAAGGACAACTCAATTAAAATAAATGATTTTAAATATTAAGTTTTTTTTTCTTGTTTAAAAGAAGAATTAAACGAATACAGAAACTCATAAAATAAAACGAGATTGAAAGAAATCAAAGATTGAGATTTTTGAAGGAGAATAATTTGAAAAATAATCCTTCTGTAGCCTCTTCTTCATTCATAGACAAATAGTAAAAAATAAGAAGGATTTCTCCTCCTCCAGATTCCACCAAAAGGGAAAAAAAAGAACAAAGTTAAAAAAAATGATGAACACATAAATACAGTGGGTCCTCACATCACAAAACTAATCTGTTTCTGAATGCGTTTCGTAACGTGGAATTTTTGTCATGCAAAACGCGGGCTTCCTTCCGGTCACATTGTAAATTAATCATTTCCAGAAACTCTTACAGAAGCCCACAATGAAACTGAGTACCTGCGGATTCTTCTTGGTTTTTTCAGCAAAAATTCGTGAATTTTAAATCAATGTTGAAGTAATCCTAACAATTTGTGGGAATAACTTTCTGAATTTCACAAATTATTGCAGCACGAAAAAAAGTATACCCTTGTTTAATAAATGTTTTCAATTGCGTTGAAAATTTTCCAAATTCCAGCCCAAAAATTTCTAAAATTCCAGCGTTTTTCAGCCAAAATCACTCATTACGTGAAACAATTTCGTAGTTGGATTCACGTTTTTCCCCTCGAAAATATTTCGTAATGCGGATTTTCCATCGTTTTAGACTTTCGTTACGCGGGGACTCAATCTACAACAGTATACAAAGCAAATCATCAACCTCAATGTTATCTTCGCCGAATTTCCCAAATGCCTCTTCTTCGCTCATGCCAACGCATCCATACTCGAGCGGCGTGAACACAGTCGTCGGCACGGCGGAATAATCCATTTTGGCAGACGGGTCCTTGCCAAAAACGCGGTCAGCCAATAGTCTCCCGGCTTGGGCAGCAACCGGTGTCAGCTCTTGTCGTCCATCCAACACATCCCCGATGGCGTAAATGCCGTTCACGTTGGTGCTCTCGCCGTCATGGCCCACGAGCTTGCCATTTTCAGTGTTCACCTCCACACCGGCGTTGGAGAGGTTCAACGCATCCGTCACTGGTCGACGACCCACCGCCAGCATCACGGTCTTGAACGCTTCCGAATGCGAAGCACCCTGAATGAATTTTTCAAAGGAACAATTTGTCTTCAATCCAGCAGGAAATGAACAAATGATTGGACATGCAGTACAAAACTTGTCTTTTTTGCAGGAAAAATCATGGGTATGCTGTCTTAAATCAAGAAGCAAATAAAAAGATAGAGGTGATAAAACACTCATCATTGATTCATTTGCTAACCAATATGACTTGGGTCAGAGATTTCAATCATTTTCCGTGACTTTTGAAGGAAACGCAAAAGTTAATCTGCGAGAGTATTATAAAGTAACTAGCTGATTGTGCCCAGCCACACCTGGGCAATATTTGGTAATATGAGTAAAATCCTGAAACTAAAAAAATGCTCAACAAATTAATGTACACTACCAACATACAATACAAAACAGACTACTGTACTCTTGCACCTGCCTGACCATACAGACTACCCTACCCTATGCTACAACCTACCCTACCCTACACCACAACCTAACCTACCCTACAAACTACCAATGCAATATAACGTTACAGAGCAGAGCAACAACAGCAAGGTTTCAGATAGGCCTACAAATGCTGTAAGCTTGCTTCAACCAAAAACACACACTGTATGTGTGAACTTTGGTCAGCCAAGGTCATGGAACACACAAAGCAACCAATTTGGATTGGGAGCATCATACTTCGGTTGTGAGGTGAAGGAAAGGAACATAAATGAGGTTGGGACAGGCAATTCTGGTCAGCAATGGCATTTTTAAAAAATGACTCGCACTCTAGGAACAATCAAGGGTAGCAGAACATATTAACATTATAAGGGCTTTCAGAAAGTGTTTGTATAGCGTAGTCAAAATTATGACTACAGGTAATTTTGAACTTTTGAGACCAGCAAAACTTCGAAGAAGTGCTTCTTGGAACATACAGTAAGTCCCCGCATAAAGAAAGACCCAGACAAAAAAAGAGTTCACAATACGTAATTGATTGAAAAAGTACAAATTTCAAGTCACATTATGCAGTACATTAATTAATTTGTTTCAGAAACTCTCTAAAAGCATGTAATAAAGCTTTAAAAACTGCATATTAATGTTAGTTTTCAGCATAAATTTGTGAATTTCATATTGATCCGTGTTACACTGAGACAATCCTGACACGCTTGCGGTAATAATTTTCTGAAATTCAAAATTTAAAAAAAAAGAGCCGAACAATGACCCTCCCTTATTGATAATTTCCGTAATTTTTTTAGAAAAATTCCGAATTTTCAGCCCAACACTTGCCAAAATCCGAGTGTTTTCTAGCCACAAAAAAGTACGTTCAACGATTTCGTAATGTGAGTCACGTTTTTCACCCTGAGAATTTTCGTAATGTTGATTTTTCGTCGTGAGAGTCTTTCGCTATTACCATGCGGGGACGCACTAAATTACTCACGTCCTTGTCTTTCCAAGTGACTTTTACGTTCCCATCGTCTTTCCGGAAACCGCTCGGAAGACAACGTCGCAAAAACTTCACCCCTCTCGCCTCCATGTTTTGCACGATCAACTTGGCAATTTCTCGATCAAAACCCCGCAACGGAATTGACCTCAGCATTACGGTGACGTCGAAGCCGAGCCCGCATAAAAAACCCGCCGTCTCTAAAGCAACGTCTGTAAGCATTCATAAAGAAAAATAAAAAATAAATCACACTCGTCGTAGCACGTACCGACTTTTTTCTTTTTTTTTTTCGTTAGAGGAAATCCACGAAATTCTCACACGATCCCCCGACGATCAATGATTTTCTGGGAGGCGATTTCAGCGTGAAAACGTCGTCGCTGGTGATGCAGTTTTCCTTCGCTCCTTCGACGTCGGGGTAAACAGGACGACCCCCAACTGCAATGACGACGTTCTTGGCTTTCAGGAAAGATTCTTCGCCTTTCGGAGACTTCATTTTGATCACATCCGGGGTCACGAACGAACCAAACGCATTGTAATAACGCACTTTTCTGTAAAATAAAGAGGTTGGATTCATTCAAAATTCGGCTCTTCACACTGAAAATGTTTTTTTGAAATTTTTCCTACGCAAAATCGGGCAACCGCACAACGAAACTGGTCCATTCCTGCATGTATTTTAGTACGCGAAACGAAATTCCCTCAAGAAAACATTTTTTTAAATGTCATCGTAAATAATTCGCATTCCTGTTCAACAAAAAAACATTCAGAATTCGGATGTTCACGACACTTCAAACTTTTCAAGAAACTTTTTCTCCCATGCAGTATGTCACTGGATAACGAAAAGAATTATTCCTGGATGCATTTTTTTATGCGAGATTTTGTAATGAGACACAATATTTCCCTCAAGAACACGTTGTACAAAATTTAAATGTTTTCCCAATTATTTCACTCCTTATATCTTTTGCTGTCGTTCTTGTACAATATTTATCGAATGTTTTGAATGCTTTAAACAGATCCGACAGAGTCACACAGAAAATACATTTCACGCCGGAAAAATAACACTCACTTGTCTTTCAAAGAGACCCGATGTCCCCAATTGAGACTCTTGGTGTGAGACAAGATATTCCCCATCAACGTGGGCCAATCCAGCGCCACCTTTCCGGGAACGTCGAACCCGTACGCGGGGGCTTCATGGAACCCCTCGTTGAGAATCGCGGCTCGGTGGTAGAGTTTCTTCGGGATGCAGCCCACGTTGACGCAAGTGCCGCCCAGGCCCCATTTCGTGCCCGCAGGCGAAGGTGCGACGTAGTCAAGGACACACGCTCTGGCTCCGAGACTCGCGGCCTGCTTGGCACAGGCCAAACCTCCGGACCCACCTCCGATCACGACCAGGTCAAAGGTTTCCTCGATTTCTGCAATGAAAATTCGGGATTTGAATGGCTTGAAAGACGAACTGAAAAAAAGGATCAAAGAATTTTAAACCTTTTTCCACTGGTTTATGTACTTAATTTAAAAAACTTTCTATAGCACTGAGGCTTTTTTTTCTTCCAAGAAATCACCTTGAAAAATCCATCTTTTCTTTTAAACGTCGATTCAATTTTCTTTTCATGCTCAAAAAATAATTTTACATTTATTTTTTATAGTTCCTCTTGATATTTCTCCATTTTCCTTCTCCAGGAAAACTATGGGCTTTACAAAGCACCACTTCAGAAGCTCTGGATTAATCAATGATGCAGAAATATGAAGGGATCTAGGACAAATTGAGACAGGGTCAATTTGAGACATGGCCAAATTGAGACAGATAATTTTGGAGACAGACAATTTTGAGACAGAAACTTTTGGAGACAGGGACAATGAGACTGGAACTTCTGAGACATGGAAACATTGCGACAAGTGTATTTTGAGAATTTGGGACACGTGCATTTTTTAGGCAAAATGACAAGATTGATGACTGTGTTTTTCCCTATTATCTTTTGTTCAATGTGTAAAAATGAACAAATATTGCACAGTTGGTGAAAAGTCACTGAACCCAGGGAGTTTCTCCATTTTCTCCACAGTCAAGTGAGTTTTCCTCAACAAGAAAAAACTTAAATCTTGGAACCAACCCAAGTAGATTCCTCTCCTCATTATAATAGTTTTTGTCGCCATTTTTCCCTGTCTCAAATTTTTTGTCTCCAATTGTCCAGTCTCAAATTGTCTGCCTCGATTTGTCCATATCCCAATATGAAGATATGCCACGTTGAATTCAAATACTGTATTGTGAAGAAACTGCTTGATTTTTCAAGAAAATTCACTCATCTCAAAGAAAAAAAATACCGTTCATCGCCGAAATGAAGAATGAATTAAAAAGGATTGAAGAACTTCAAATCTCCTACACTGTTTTATGTGCCCCGATTTTTGGAAAAAAAAAGAAAGAAAACCAACTGAAAAATTGAAAACTCAGAATCAAAACAATCAATTTTCCTGATGGGTGAAAAGCAGCTTTTCGAGGATTCAATCGTTCAAAGAATCAGGGCTGTAAAAGCCTGCTGCAACGGCTATAATAATCAACAATGAAGACATCAAATTTTCTAGTTTTTCAAGAAATTCGTACTCAAATTTGGGATTATAGTTATGACAACATTCCTTATCGGTTATGATAATCAACAATGAAGACGCACAATTTGCTAGTTTTTCAACGAATGCGGTTACAAAAATTGGCAAAAAGTGTTTCTTTCATTCCTTTCTAAATTGGTCATGCATCCAACTCACAATTTCTTTTCTTTTTACCACTCAAACCGTTACAACCAACTCATTGCCAAATTCATTTGAAAACTTAGAAAGCCCTATACGAGGTGCCAAAACTGCTGGGTAAGTCATAAAAATGCGAAGCAATTGTCTTTTTTGTTCATCAGATAAACATTCTCTCATGTATCCTTACTCAAATCTTTCTTTTCTGTACTTCCACTAAGACCTGAAGGGCGGCCATAAAATTTAGTTAAATACTGCTCTAACCATCGAAGAACGCAAAAAAAACCATAGAAAAAAAAAATTTGAAGAACACACCTCCACTGAAATTCCTTCGCTGGCCACAGGCACAAATCCGCGTGCCAATCGTCCGGTTCAGTCCGCGCAACAAGCTCAACTTCCCGATCATTTCCCACGCGAATTTCCCGTCATCCTGCCAAAAAAAAAAACACCATGGCACAGGCAACCACACAGTATTCGATTCAAATAACGGAGACTATCTCGGGTATAGTGACTTGATAACGAAATGGCGACTAGATTTTTGTCGTGCGACACACACACAATCACAATCACAAATCAACACACTGAGATTTCTTCTGGACGGATTCAGTTCACAGTTTCACAAAATACTTTTTCAGCTGTTGCAACAGCTCCTGAGATTCCATGTGCTCAGGATAAGCCTTCAGCGCCTTTTGCACCACAATGTAACTTCCTTGCAGGTCACCCATCTGTTGAGATCAAAAGATTCTCAATAAACAATATAAGATAAACTGTTGGCCTTATATGATTTCTCATTAAAGATTCTCTCTAAATTGTTCATTCAACTAAACCTCATACAGAAAGTAGATGAAGACCTTATCGTGCTTTAAATTAATTGTTACTGATATTTTGTTTTCAATGTCAGGGAAGGAATGGGTGTATGCATATATTGTACATGTCAGATGTCCAGTTGTATTTTGTGGATTGTATTTTTCTTTTATTTTTGTTATCCATTTGTGCTCTGTTTCCTGCTCTGAAGTGATTAAATGTCTTTCGAGTTGATTTGGGTTGGGTGGGGAAGGGATTTGGATGTGGAAATCTTGATTGAACCTTGTGAACGCTAAAAAGCAACAAACAAAGTGTCCTATTCATTCATTCAACAATATAAAAATGTCATCGAGGCAAGATTCATGTGCTTGCAAAAAATTTACAGATCAGTGGACCCTTGTTCAAAAAACTTCAGTTCTGATGAACGAAAGTCCCTCAGTTGACCAACCAACATTTGTTCAACGGGCAAAAATCATGCAATTAGCACTTCAAAATTTGGTGATGACACAGTCGAATTTTTTCAAGTCTCTGTCTGCTTTCCCTTAGAAACATTGCATTAAAAACCTCCCTGACTCAAAGGCTTTCCCCCCTCAAAACCTCCATAAATTAAAATTTTCTGGAGGTCTTTCTGGCTATCACAGTATTTTATTGACAGAGAAACTTTGAAAAAATGACAAATTATAATATTATTTTATATTATTATTATTAATGACTAGTGATAAATGTAAATTGATGTGCTTCGAGAATAAATGAAAGTTCACTAGGGCAAATAAAACCTTGCCTCCCAGTTCAGCATCCAGCCAAATTTAAAAAGAAAATTCTAGTCCAGAAAATCATCAATCGAAATTTTCGGTAATGCTGTAAATTTCGTTGCTTTCCCAAACTAAAAACCTGCCGTAATCAAATTGTTTTTTTCGGGTCCCTTGAAGTTTGCCTGCAAGAGGTTCCATAACTGGATTTATAAAGTGAATATGAAGTCGAAGACCATGTATAANGTTTGCCTGCAAGAGGTTCCATAACTGGATTTATAAAGTGAATATGAAGTCGAAGACCATGTATAAAAAAATAAAAACCTTGTCAGCCAAACTGGCAAAGTTGAAATGCGGTTCATACAGGTGAGGTGACAAAGTCGCCGCAGTCTGGAAAAATGCCCGAGCCGTGTCAGGGTGTCCTTTCCGCATTTCCAGGACACCAAGATTGTTGAAGCTCTCGGCGTGGTCGCTGTTGTGAACCAGGGCGAGTCTGAAGGCCTGGTACGCCAAGAACGTATCACCAATGCTCTGATGAGAAAGAAAGGAAAAAACAATCCTCAACTAATAATTAAAATATGCATCGCATTTAGAACAAATTCGAAATGCATCAGGATCCATTAGCAAAACGAAAAGAGCAGAGATGAGAAGGTACGCGACATTTTTAAAAACTTCATATGAATCAAACAATTATTGAAGAACGAGTGAGATTTTCTGAGCTGCATGCAGGAAGTAGACCTCATCCCTTGTATTCTCTTAAATTTTCCGGACAAAAATTTAGTATCGTAGACTGCAATTTTTTCAGTGGGTTATAAATAATTCCCGATTCTTCAGTGGGTATACGATATTCAAATTTCGCATTCTAAAAATTTGTTATAAAAGTAAACTAGCAATTCGTAAATTTGTTATAAAAGCTTGTTACCAAGAAACTCAAACGATCGTGAGGCTATTGGAGAGGGACCTAAATAACTATTCAATCGTCAGCGACTACTTCTTATAACGAACTTTTCTTAATGGGATTGTAGCAGTTGTACAGTAAGCAATTTTTTTTTCACAATCAATAGAGGTGAGAAAATTCGACAAAAATGAAAAGAAATATTTTGGCATGGCTGATCCAGTATACAATAGAATTTCCGTGCAACAAATCTCGTCAAAACTAATCATACATTACAAGGAATTCATTTCTTACGTCCCTGTCCCACAGCTATGTAATACTGTACCATTCAAGTTTTCTTGAAACGAATTTTTTCCTTATAACGGAGCTACAGTATTTTACTGGTCCCGATGGCTTTGTTGTAACAAGCTTTTACTGTATGAACAGCCTAACTACCAATTAAATACTAGTAGTACTAAAAAATTTAGTAGATTAAAAAATTTATCTAAAAAACCAGGTTTTCAAAAAGCAAAAAATAACCTTAAACGTGGTGCGCATCTATTTCATTTGTTGGTCTACTTCCTGCATGCATGCAGTTCAGTAAATCTCACTCGTCCTTTGAAGTTAATAAAAACGTGTTAAAAAAATGAGAAAAAGCCAAAAGGGGAAATTCAACACCTCTCTCAAAATGTTATCACATGTGCAAACACGTATGCAAAACTCCTTCTGTTAAAGAAATCTTTGACTAATGAAATGTTTTTAAATAAGTGAGACCCCCATGTGCGGACACCTTGACCTGCAGACATTTCAACGTAGGGACACTTACTTTCCCATAAAAAAATTAATTCAAAAAAGGCCTGACATGAGGACACTGACTCAACATTGGGACATTTTGTGATGAAATTGCAAATACACTTCAGGCCAAATTACAAGAAACACATATTTCCAACCCTGAAATTGATGTAAGAAAAATTCTTGGGCATTACTCCTTCCAATTTACCATCCATTCAGCTTATTTTTAAAAATTACCTCCAGCATAAAGATGAAGGGACTCCTTCTCTCTTTTTCACTAGAATGTTATTTTTATAGAGAACGCCAACATTTCTATGTACTGTACAGAGGTATCAGTATTCAATTCCCCAAATGTCCATATTTTGTTGAAATATATCAATTGAATCAGTTTAAATTGGGAGGTAATTTTTATTTTCATGGAGTTCTGGTGAGTGTTTTGTACATAAAACACCAAAAAATTATATAATATGTATAAGCCTCAGGGAAAATGAGACTCAACTCAGGGACATTTCAACTTAGGGACACTCTTGATGCACCAATTACATCAGCATCTCCAGTCTCACTGTATGATTTTTCTCATTGTACAGTAACTGACCAAAGCAACATAGCCGATATTGAACCAAACGTCAGCAGCGTCGGTACCAGAGACCAAGTGTAGCGCTCGCTCGAAACACTTCAACGTCATGTCGTATTGCTGGGCGTAGAAGCAACACAAGGCGATGTTGTTGTAGATCTCGGCATTATAAATTCCCATCTGCAACAACCGTCTGAAAAAAAATATGCAATCAATAATTTAGACACGAACATTGGCAATTCTAGCGATAATCAAACTCAAATTCATTCAACAAATCGGATTCACAAAAATTCCAAATCACCAATATTTTTGCAATTATAAAAAAATTCAACATGCCCTAACTTTAAAGTCAAAACCTTGCTAAGTCAAATTTTTCTGCTGATCCCTTGAAATTTGACTTGAAAGGCTTGACTGTATCTTGTATCTTGAAAATGAGACCAACTTCATAATAGGGTGAAAGTCATCCCAGCTGCAGCCCAACCAAACCATCATGTTTTATTGCTAAAAATTAAAATCATTCTTTCATTTATTCTTGACATGCACTCATTAAAATGCTCAGTCGGATTTTTCATACTGAAAATGTTGATCAAATTTTATCCCTGACTCACCCTGAGTAAGATGAACCATTTTATTGAATGGAAAACAGCAATATTTCTTTAATAAGAGAAACTAGAATTTAAATTTGAGCATGAATTCAACCGGAATTCAATTCATTTACAATTGGTTCAATGCATACATTTTTTGTCACACTTGCTCCAAAATTTCCCAGTTCCTGAAGCATAATACTCGCCTAAACTCTCTTTACTTGAAAAAATTTGTATACTCTCCTTTTTTCCTCTCAATTTTGTGAAAAAAAAGGTGTGCATGGTAATAGGTAAATATGATAAAATGCAGGGACAATGAATTAAATTGATTTTCAATTGTTCTGGTGAAAAATTTTCCTTTCAAACTTGGTTCACAATTTTCCATTAAAATGAAGTATGATGCGCATCTCGACTTTTTCTGAATTTCATGCCCTCCTTTTTTCCTCTCAATTTGGAGAAAAAAAAGTGCACGTGGTACTCAAATAAATAAGATAAAATTCAGGGATTTTGAATTAAGATAATCATCAATTGTTTTGATGAAAACATTTTCCTTTGAAAGGTGGTCCAAAATTACTAATTATAATCAAGTATAATGCGGACCTCAAACTCCCTAAACTTTTTAAAAACAAAAGATTGTTCACCCTTCGTATTTCCTCTAAATTTTGATGGGGAAAAAGGTGGGAAAGTTAATCAAGTAAACACGTAAAATGCAGGGATTTAAAAACAATTTGAGCAACTTTCACGTAACAAATGTTAAAAAAAAATTTGTATTTTATAAGGGTCAAATATCCACCTGTAAAACCTAAGCCCGAGCTCGGGCTGGTCATTGTAAAAATGATGCAACCCAACGCACGCAATGGCCTCCACATTAGTAGCTTCGTAAACCAGCAATTCCTTGTAAACCCTGACAGCCTTCTGCAATTCGTTGAGTCCCTCGTAAATCCTCGCAATGCCCGTCATCAGCCTCACTTCCCGGTTGAACTTCTCCAGCCCTTCGTTGTACACGTCAACTGCGGCCAGGGGCTGGTCCAGACGAACGCAAACCAGGCCCAAGTGAAGATAAGTCGAGATCATGGGCTGTTGTTTGATGCTGGATCGGAATTGTTTTTCGGCGTCCCTGTACAATCCGAGGCGGTAGTAGCACTTGCCCAGTTGGTATTTCCACCACCAGTCTTTGAATTCACAGGCTTCTGTGGCCAAGGCGGCCAAATCCAATGCCTATAGAAATCAACAGAAAATCGAGGTAATTATTCAGCTCAGTTGCTCCTCAAAAACGACAAAACTTTAAGCATAATTTGAAGACTTACGTCCGAGGGTTGTCACAATTGCACGCGACCTCATATTTTTCAAGAGTAGGTGTGATTGTGAAAAAAAAATCAAAACACAGCTCAAGATGTTCTTAGGTTCTGGATTTTTTTTGGATACCCAAAAAAAGTTTTTCAATTCATTGCATGATGAAAAATGAAAATTTTTCAGTTCTCAACCATTGTCATAGGGTAGCTAAAAATTTGCCATGTGAGTTTGAAGAACATGTAGTTTTGCGTTGTGTTGCCCATATTTATGTTTTCTGAATTTCAAATGAGAAATCTTTATACAGTATAACCTTCTCTTGATAAATTACAAATTTTTGTAAAACTTTTATTTTTCAAAATACAGAGGAACTGGCTCCACTGTACTGAGAAATGAAGCCAGGTTTCTCAGTCAATATCCAAGTGTTATTATTTCCACAAGGCACGCATACCATTGCTTGGAATTCCTCAAGTAGCTTACACAGGTGCAAGAAGCAAAAAGGGGTCACATTCCAATGCGGGGTTGCCATTTTGGCATCTACTTCAAATATAGAGAGGGAGTTTTTGCCCATCCCTCAGTTGCTCAGTGCAAATATTCGGGTGTGCGTACATGGACTACTTTGAGAAGATTAATTCTGATGCCCAATGGGCATACACCAGACCCATGTTTGTGGTGAAAAGTTCAGTGGAAGACATTGGAATGTTGCATGACTATTTGTTCATCATGCAAGAGGATGTGTGGAAACTGGGTTTCAAAGAAAATTGGCAGTATTTGGACATGCTGCTGGCAAACGTTGGTTCAGGTGAGTGAAGGCATTGAATAGTCCATGCAATATACCAGAAATCTTTCAAAACTTCAGTTAGTCCTTTCAAATATTTCTGAGTCAATTTCTCTATAATCACTGCCTATTGAACAGCTGTAATAATATTCAGATCAAGTCTCAATTTTCTGAAAATATTTTGTTCAATAATCTGAAAAATTGATGATCTTCTGGGCCTTTTATTCCAGAATAAATGAGTTGATAGAATTCTGAACTTGAAGGCAAGGGTCAATTTACCCAGTCAGTAATTCACTCCCTTTTGAACAGCATCAATTTGTATTTTTCTTATGTTTCTTTTTCCTGGGTATCCAGAAGGGGTGACTTTGGCAATTTCTAAGCAAAAAATGACCAAAGTCACCCCTAAAATTAAACAAAATTTTGGGGTACCAGTGACATTACAAATAAAAATTCACAAAAATTATGAGTTTCCCATGGTAACATACAATATTTTAGTTTTATGAACTGGAAAATAGTTGTTGAGAAGATTTCCAAGATCACTTGAGGAACTTGTCATTCAGAATAAAAAATTCTCAAAATTGAACAAAACTTTCCCATTGTAACATTGCTCATGATCTGGAACTTAGAAACTGAAAAGATTTTTAAAACTATATGAGATAACTGGTTGCATTTAAATGTCCTGAAAATGTATACAGGACATTTAAATGCCAGTGTTCAAGGCAAATATTAGTTTCTGTCACTGATGAGTGCATTTTCAACTTTCTCTTGTCCCCATTTCAAGCTGGGTGAGTGAAAATTAGTGAAGCTATTCTAAAATTGGACAAATACATTTCTCAAGAAAACATACCCTTTACATCAAATTCAACAGGAATCTGTTGAAGAAAACACTAGACTGCCAAACCTGATTAATAAGTTACTGAAAAAGGGCTTCATTTTCTTGATACAGTTGGACCTCAATAATTCAAACCTCCCAATGTCAAACTTTTTATTTGATCCAGCATACATTCCCTCAGGAATAGTATATAATGACCCTCCCAAATTAAAGATTTTCACCATAGAACATTTCGAACTTAAATTTCTGGATGCCTTTTGGGGTATTATTCCAGATACTCAGGAAAAAGAAACACAATAAAAAATAAAAATTGATGCAGTTCAAAAGGGAGTGAATGACTGATTAGGGAAATTAACCCTTTCCTTAAAGTTCATCATTCTATCAACTCATTCAGAAGGTCCAGAAGATCTTCAATTTTTCAGATGATTTTTGATATCCATCAAAAATACGTTTTCCCAATTGAAATTTTCTGCAAGTCCCTTGAAGTTTGACTCTCAAGAGTTTCAACCATCCTTCTATTTTCCCAGATTTTGCTGTGACAAACTTTGAGGCCCTGAATTACCTGGACAATTTGAGGCTGACTTTAGATGCTTCCAAGCATCAACAGTCCCTCAACAACGTTCTGCACATTTTTCTGTCAAACAAAAGGCTGAGCGGAGTTCAGCGTGAAAAGGGCAAAAGGCTGTTCTTGGCCCTCTTGTCAGTTGGTGTGGATGTGGACACCTATGGACACTACATGGCCCGGCCTGCCCACTTCTGCGCTGCACTCAACCAAAGGTTTTACTGGAAGAAGATAGTGAGGTGTAGACCTCAAGTGGACACCATTCTTGGGGTTTTCTGGACTCATGCTGTCATTGCTTTGAAAAAACATCATGATCTGTTTGTCCCTGTGCCAGTGAGTTGATACTTTTCCAAATATTTGAGGCATATGGATGAAATTTCCCACACAAGTACAGAAAATCCATTTTAAGAAAAAAAAGCTTTGCAGGAAAAACTATCCTGAATATTGCATACTAGAATATGGATTTCTCAACCAAAACTAATGAAATAATTTCACTGATCTGCAGAGATTTTTGAGTGTTTCATTGGTAGAAGTTAGGTAGAACATTGTATTCTTGGATTTTTGGCTTTTTGGGGAGCAAAATAATACAAACACACCTACAACAAAATGCTAATTCATTCCAACTACACATTCAAAGTCCAGCACTTGATTCATTCTTTGTTTTCCATTGCACCAATCAAGTGATGGTCTTTTTCAATAGGAAATACATTAGCCTTACACAGGATAACAAATAAATAATAGGTTTCCTGCAAATAATAGGATTTTGTGACTATTCATCAAAATACAGTATACCAAATTTACTCAAATATAATGCACCACTGAATAAGAGACACATCTGGATCTTGCAGGGAAAATTTTGGGTAATGATGTATCAAAATGTGAGGCACTCATCCAAGTTTTTCATGATGCAACACATTCAATTTTTGAATCAACAATACACGTGGTACACTACCTTGAAATTTGACCTCCTGCAATTCAACAATCCTACAATTTGACAGTTGAATTTTCAGGGAGTTGAATTGCCATCAACCCTTGCCGTGAAATTTGACCTGCTTTGGCAACTTTTTTGCATTTTTGTACTGAAATTTTTGAATTTCACCAAGTGTCTTTCAATTCAACCACTTTGCAATTGGACACTATTTTGGCATTGGATTAGGGTCAAATTGCAAGGAACCACCTGTTGTTGAAAATTTGAATTTTAGATCAAGTGCAAGTTGAAAATATGAAAAAGCCAAATGGAATATGACAGGAAGTTATCTTAAAATGCTTGTACTTATGGTTTTTTGACATTAAAAAAAGCAATTCTATGGTTTGAGTAGATCACTGTACCATGTACACACACAAATATTTTTGAACAATTTGCATTCAAGTTAGACAAGCACCAAATTTTTGGCATAGATTTCCAGAAAAACAGTTGAACATGGATACCTCAAACCTCTCTACATCAAATAAAATAACTCTTAATTTCAATTCTTCCAAGTCCCTGTCTTAATCCTCTTTCTTTTTTATGTCTTCACATAAGGCTCCCAAACTCAAAGGCTTCATCTCCTCAAACCTCTATAAATCAAAATTTTTAGAGATCCTTTGGCTACTATTTTTGTGACCCAGTGAAGAGAAAAGCAACATGAATGTAGCTTGATGCTTTCTGAAAGGAAGTGAAAGACCAATCAGGCAAATGAACTCTTGACTGAAGATTCATACTTCTGTCAACTTCTCTACAAAGCAATTTCAGGCCAAAAAATTATCACTAATTTGAACGTTTATTTTTAGAGCCAAAAACGGTAGTTTCTCAATCTCAAAACCTCCCCATGCCAAATTTTTTGTCCTTCTCCTTGAATTTGACTCTAATAGGCTCAACTGTACTTGATTAATATTCAGTGTAAATTCACAAGCTACAGTACTTGAATATCCTTCAGGTATGGACAAAATTGCCCAAGAAAGCATTTATTGATCATTCATAGGGGTTCAATTGTGATCATTTGCTTCATTTTTCCACAGAGCACCATGAGTCCCATGGTAGGAATATCTAGAAAAAGTGCCAAAGAAGACTTTGTGAGTGTCCTGTTAAAAGCTTCAATTTTTTTAACCAAGTTGAATAGGGGCTTCCTTCCCAGGTCTCATTTGATATGAAGCCAGGGTTTTCTTGGTTTGGAGAACTAGCCTTTTTCAGAGCTTGGTTTGCTGTCAAGAAAGAAGACTCTTCTCCTGACCACAGATAACTTCTGTACCTCCGAGGAATGTAGTTGACCTGACGGTACCTCACCCGACGAGTAGTACTTCACTTCTTGTACTAGGGACTCGATGTGAAGATACACTCATGCACTTGAACTTGCTTCTAACAACAAAAAAAGGAACCTCCAAATTTTCAATTTCAGTACAGTTTCAAAATTTAATTTTGTTCCTGCCTCGCAGAAGTTGAAATACAAGTTGCAATTGATTGAAGGGAATCACATGCAGAAGGCGGAAAAACTGGCTCTGCCTGGTCTGTCACACCGCGAGTTGCGCTGGGTACAAGAATCCACGGACGAACAAGAACAAGTGGCAAAAATTGTCTATCTCTTCGAAACTCATGTGTGAAGATCCGAGAAATAACACCCAATTTTCGTCGCGGTCTTCAATCACAATGAGTCAAAGGTCTCCGAGGTTTTAAAGCAGTGCTCAGCTGATCCCCAAGGAATTCTCCTGCAGTTCTCAAAAGGTTTCACAGCTACTCGAAGGACACACGATTAAAAACAAATGCAAGGAAACATACTCAAACTGAAGAATCCCAACACAAAAAAGAATCAATGATTATAACAAATTATTATTTTCAGTGTCTCTGCCAAATAAACGAAATTTTACACAAATTGCGGTTTAACGAATCATTATTCAACCTTTTTTCCAGGTCCCAATGGCTTCAATGTAACGAGATCTTACTGCATTGGGTGGGATACCTACCACTTCTTCTGAGAAGAGGACTGGTGTCTATTGAAGACATGGAGGCTCCTTACATCAACTGGACTGCCATGGAGTGGGCTGCTCATCATGAAGTGAAGAACATGATCCCTGAGCTACACTTCTATGTGAGTATGCACTTCAACATGCTTCTAAAAAAATAATAAAGAAACCTCCAAATTTTCAATTTCAGTACAGTTTCAAAATTTAATTTTGTTCCTGCCTCGCAGAAGTTGAAATACAAGTTGCAATTGATTGAAGGGAATCACATGCAGAAGGCGGAGAAACTGGCTCTGCCTGGTTTGTCACACCGCGAATTGCGCTGGGTACAAGAATCCACGGACGAACAAGAACAAGTGGCAAAAATTGTCTATCTCTTCGAAACTCATGTGTGAAGATCCGAGAAATAACACCCAATTTTCGTCGCGGTCTTCCAATCACAATGAGTCAAAGGTCTCAGAGGTTCTAAAGCAGTGCTCAGCTGATCCCCAAGGAATTCTCCTGCAGTTCTCAAAAGGTTTCACAGCTACTCCAAGGACACACGATTAAAAACAAATGCAAGGAAACATACTCAAACTGAAGAATCCCAACACAAAAAAGAATCAATGATTATAACAAATTATTATTTTCAATGTCTCTGCCAAATAAACGAAATTTTACACAAATTGCGGTTTAACGAATCATTATTCAACCTTTTTTCCAGGTCCCAATGGCTTCAATGTAACGAGATCTTACTGCATTGGGTGGGATACCTACCACGTCCAGAACTCGAAATAAAATTCGATACACTTCATAAAATTCGTTGACACCAACATCTTTTTCCATGGAAAATGGCGATAAAAGTGTTCCACCAGTTGAAAAGTTAGAGGAACTGAGGTTTAAAGCAGAGTTATTGACCCGCGTAATTTTTCTTTCAAATCGCGAAACGAAATGCAAAAAAATAAATATTTTTTTCATGAAAGTCAAATAACAACGTACCATCTTGACGTCGTTTTCTTGGTACAAAATGTACTCAAACAACGGTTTCGCCAGACCAGCATCCGAGCAATACTTGGACAAGTTCAAGCGAGCGATATTTATAAAGGGACCATCGGGCTGGGAAATCATGGACGCCGTTCCAAGTCGCACGTGTCTTCCGGAAGCTGCGGAACAAGGTCGAGCCGTCTTGGCTGTTCTTCCGGTTCTCAGGGCAGTTTCCAGAGCCTTAGAGCCACTCGCTACTTCCGTGTTTTGGGTTCCGGGTCGCAACACTCCGCTGAGAGGACGACCTGTCGTTGTTCTTGGCCTATGAAAAAAAATGGATACTTTTCTTTAAAGTACTGTACCGTATAAAATAATTAATCACATGAACCCGGATAATTCAAACCTCCCCATGTCAAATTTCATTCAAGTCCCTGCCTTAATTCTCTTTTAAAAAAATGCAGTAAAACCTTCCCCCTCAATCCACCATATTTCAAACTTTTTGAAGGCCTTTTGGCTACTGTACTTTACTGACACAGGAAATAGAAACGCAATAAAAATTTAACAATGTGTTCCAAAAGGAAGTGAAAGACTAATTGCGCAAATAAAACATTTCCTACCAAGTTCAGCATCCTGTCAACTTATATTCACAAAAACGTTTTGTGCAAAAATATCACTAATTTAAATCCCATAAATTATCTTTTTATTCAAAACAAAAAAAATGGTAGTTTCCTTCAATGGAAAAATCCCGAAGTTGAATTTTTCCGCTGGTCTCTTGAAATTTGACTGTACAGTCAACCCCCATAAACTCCCACCCTTAATTGCTGCCAAAATGTCATCCCTAACAAATACTGCCTGAGCTTGAAGGGATGGCAAACCCCCTTTAAACCGCCAAAATTTTTATCCCCCAAACTGGATCGCCCTATTGTTTTTCTCCCTCTATAAACTGCCAGTTTCTTCCTCCTTCCCAGACTTTTCTTGCACCAATATTTTTTCTCTTCCCAACCATCCTTTTCTCACCTTTTATTTATTGAAATATTGTAGTCAACCAAAATTAACCCAGCCTGATCAAGGTTGAAGAATTTCCTCTTGAAGCATGATTATAAATTTGAATTGTTCACTCAATTTTGAGATGTTTGTAATGCTAGGTTGAAGCAGAGGCAGCAAGGNCACAAAAAAGAATCAATGATTATAACAAATTATTATTTTCAGTGTCTCTGCCAAATAAACGAAATTTTACACAAATTGCGGTTTAACGAATCATTATTCAACCTTTTTTCCAGGTCCCAATGGCTTCAATGTAACGAGATCTTACTGCATTGGGTGGGATACCTACCACGTCCAGAACTCGAAATAAAATTCGATACACTTCATAAAATTCGTTGACACCAACATCTTTTTCCATGGAAAATGGCGATAAAAGTGTTCCACCAGTTGAAAAGTTAGAGGAACTGAGGTTTAAAGCAGAGTTATTGACCCGCGTAATTTTTCTTTCAAATCGCGAAACGAAATGCAAAAAAATAAATATTTTTTTCATGAAAGTCAAATAACAACGTACCATCTTGACGTCGTTTTCTTGGTACAAAATGTACTCAAACAACGGTTTCGCCAGACCAGCATCCGAGCAATACTTGGACAAGTTCAAGCGAGCGATATTTATAAAGGGACCATCGGGCTGGGAAATCATGGACGCCGTTCCAAGTCGCACGTGTCTTCCGGAAGCTGCGGAACAAGGTCGAGCCGTCTTGGCTGTTCTTCCGGTTCTCAGGGCAGTTTCCAGAGCCTTAGAGCCACTCGCTACTTCCGTGTTTTGGGTTCCGGGTCGCAACACTCCGCTGAGAGGACGACCTGTCGTTGTTCTTGGCCTATGAAAAAAAATGGATACTTTTCTTTTAAGTACTGTACCGTATAAAATAATTAATCACATGAACCCGGATAATTCAAACCTCCCCATGTCAAATTTCTTTCAAGTCCCTGCCTTAATTCTCTTTTTAAAAAATGCAGTAAAACCTTCCCCCTCAATCCACCATATTTCAAACTTTTTGAAGGCCTTTTGGCTACTGTACTTTACTGACACAGGAAATAGAAACGCAATAAAAATTTAACAATGTGTTCCAAAAGGAAGAGAAAGACTAATTGCGCAAATAAAACATTTCCTACCAAGTTCAGCATCCTGTCAACTTATATTCACAAAAACGTTTTGTGCAAAAATATCACTAATTTAAATCCCATAAATTCTCCTTTTATTCAAAACAAAAAAATGGTAGTTTTCTTCAACGGAAAATTCCTGAAGTTGGATTTTTCCACTGGTCTCTTGAAATTTGACTGTACTGTCAACCCCCATAAACTGCCACCCTTAATTGCTGCAAAAATGTCATCCCTAACAAATCTGCCTGAGCTTGAAGGGATGGCAAACCCCCTTTAAACCGCCAAAATTTTTATCCCCCAAACTGGATTGCCCAATTGTTTTTCTCCCTCTATAAACCGCCAGTTTCTTCCTCCTTCCCAGACATTCCTTGCACCAATATTTTTTCTCTTCCCAACCATCCTTTTCTCACCTTTTATCTATTGAAATATTGTACAGTCAACCAAAATTAACCCAGCCTGATCAAGGTTGAAGAATTTCCTCTTGAAGCATGATTATAAATTTGAATTGTTCACTCAATTTTGAGATGTTTGTAATGCTAGGTTGAAGCAGAGGCAGCAAGGGTAGAAACTTTTTTTTATCTGCTTCATCCTTCCCTCTATGAAGTGCCAACCCCATTAAACCCCCAAAATTCTGCTGCACAAATGTTGGCGGTTTATCGGGGTTTGATTGTACACTGTAATTGATGCAACTTGTCGTCAAATTGTCTGTCATTGCTTCTTGCTAGCAGATGCTGCACAAGGCAGTTGCACGTTTTCTACTTTCACCTTCCCACTGATGTGCCAAGTCACATGCCATCAAGTTACGCAACTTGGCCTAAATCAAGGTCAGATCTGGGTCTGAACAGCATTTCCCAATGGCAGACCACAGATGTTGAAAATTTAAATATGCAATAGAGCTAAAATACAGGATTAGAGTGGCCCCAGGAAAATGGCAGAACTTTGGGAAAGTCAGGGATCCAATGGGACCAAGTGCAACCTTGGGTTCCCGCAAGATTCTAAATTCTTGGGGAAATCCTTTTAGAAGGATAAGACGTTCAGGGACAAAAATAGTCATAGAAAGGAAATCGTTTAAATAGCAAATATTTTCTGTATTGAATCATCAGTTGCTTTGGTGTTGTCTTGCACAAAAGACTGCTTGCAAAAACTGCTGTTCATCGAATAACTCAAAAATATATCAACCTTACACTAGGGTGACAAGCACCCCGGCCCCAGCCCAGCTGTTTGCTGTTCAACGCTTCATTCCAAACTCTCTCAAAAAAGAACTAGGTCAAAAAATCCACAAACCAATTCCATTTCCAGCAACAGAGTCAGATTGCTTCTTATGAGATAGTATAGGTCAGAAGCAGTCATTCATAACTCGAGACGCATTTTTCACGTTCTCAGGCCATTTTTTTTTTTACAGACAAAAATATGCCTTTCATTCGAGTAACCCGGGTTAGCATATAATCACCTGTAAGCGTGCGAGGTGCCCGACAAGCCCGAGGTCAAGGCAGGAGTTCGTAACGAAGTTCCAGGTCTGGTGACCTGAGCCACGGAATTATCATCCATCGTGAGGTCAGCAATTCCTTGCTCATCCGCCTCCACATCATCCACGTACACTTGACTAGTCAATGCCCTCGTTTTCAAAGTCCAAGCAGCCTGCGAAATAAACCGAAAAACATTATTCTTGTGCTTCGCGAAAAAAGAATAAAAAACTGACGATCGTGTTCAGTAAAAGAAATGTCGGGAATGGAAATGCCTGAAGAGTGAACCTACTACTGTACTGTACTTTACTGCGATAAACTCTCCCATGAATATTGAATCGTGAATTTTTTTTGTAGAGAAATTTAGCGCAACGCAACTCTGATTTGATAGGCGTTTCTAATCCAATACTTTTAGAACTCAAAAAAGACACCAAATATCCACCCCATCTCATCAAGATGAAATGCTGTACTTGAATAAACAATGCATCATCAAGTCCAGCATTAAACTAAAAAAAAAAACACTGAGAGCCTTAGTTGGCTTATGGCATGTTACAGTTGCCAACTCAAGAACAATAAATATACAGTCAACCCCTGTCTAATGGACTTGATTTGTGCAAGGGACAAGTCTGTTAGATGAAAAGTCCTTTACACGAATTCAATTACATAAAAAATTGAAAATTTTTTTGTTGTAGCATGCTAGGATTTATTCAAAAACTATTTTTTGTCGTAGCATGACAACTTCCTTTCTTGGAAATTTTATAAATAAGTGGGAGCATTCCTGGAACCATTGGTGATTCCTGCACACACACAAAACTTCAACAAAAGTTCATCAAACAACTCTGTTCTTTCACTCAACAAGGCATACAAATCATAAAAGGCATGCATAAAATTTTAAAATTGCATGCTTTATGCAATGAAATACAGAACAAAAACTGCATGCTTCAAGTTGAAATTATTTCTGGCCGGTTTATCTCACACAACACACTCAATGGCTCAGACAATTCTGCAAATCAGCTCATTTTGCCGACAGTAAAAACCCCTGAACTAAACCTTCCTCATCATACAATACACTTGATTTGGTGCCATCCTTGCGTAGTACTACAAAATGTTCTAGGAACAAATGATGTCACGATATCAAGGTTTGACCACATATCTCAAGCAAGAAATATTTTCTAACACAGAGGCTGTTGTTTCACAAAGTTCATCACGCATCAAGTTGAATTACATTAAGGAAAAAATTAAAATCTCGTTACAACGAAGTCATTGGGACCAGCAAAATATCTTCCTTATAACAAAAAAATGTCCGCAAAGCAATTCATTCGACTCTGTGGCTATTCGATAATTTTAGATCAAAAAATGCAGTTTAACCCCGTGAACACAGAAGGTTTTCTTGAAAATCTCGAGCCTGTTTCACACACAACACCCCACTTTGATGTTCCCAATCAAAGCGTCGAGACTTGCATCAGCTCACGAAAAAAAAAAGAGAAATATTCTTAAATGAATCCCTCACCTGATCCACAGAGTTTCTCTCCAAGAGTTCGCCGCACAATTGAACACAATCATCGTACCGCCGACACCGAAACTTAATTAAAGCTTTATAAAACGGGTCCATCATTCACACAGTCGCACCTGGAAAACACGCCGCACATCAAATCGGTACTTTCGAGTCAAGAAACCACACCGCCACATTTGACCACAATACACGCCCTTGGTCATTAAAGTCAACTCAAATCACATCATCATCAATGCACTCGTCACGTTTTCTTCTTTGCAGGTAATGCCGCAGCAGCTTTCTTGGCTTTCACCATTTCAGCGAGTTCCTGAGGACAAAAACGAGGATTTCGTTTTTCTTTTTAAATAAAAAATAAAATAAAATGCGGGAAATTCGGGCTGGAATTTACCTTGAAGCGTTTCATGCATTCCTTTTTCGTTCTTCCGGGAACACAGGAAGCGATTTTCCCCCAACGGTCTTCAGCAGATGCAGGATAAGTTCTGAGAGCTTGCTCCAAAAGCTTCTGCTCCTCTGTTGACCACGACTTATCTCCACCAATTGATTCGACTTCACCAGCTTCAGCTAAAAAGAAACAGGCGTAAAACACAACACGTAGGAAATACTTAATTTCAAGGACGATATCCAATTGAAACCATCAACTGCTTCGTAATAAACTTGCAAAACACTACGAAAATTTCAATTTTCACGCGATTCGAGAAAAGCACGCTGAAAAACTCATGCGTGGCACGTAATGAAGGTATGGTAGAACATTCAGCAGTGGTCTGCAAATTTGAACTGGCGCCGGTTGCCAGAAATTTTTTGCCGGTCCGTGGGAAGTTTTCTTCAGCATCATAAATTCACAAAATTAATAACGAAGTTTGCTATCTTAATCTGAATTTCGGTAAAAAATGTCACTCGAAATTATTTGATGAAAAATAACTGCTAAGTAACTCCGACAAATTTTCCCTCGCGAAAATAAATTATCTCAAGTATTAATTTTGAAAAACCTTTCTTGAAGCCCAATTTAAATTATTTTTCTAGACATTCCACCGCAGCTGCTTCACAGCTTAATTTTTGCAATGAAATTTTTTGTTAGAGGACTTCATGGGAGGTATTTAAAAAATTTTCTTCTGGTCAGCTAACATTTTCAAGAAATTTGCTGGTCCGCAAAACATTAATGGAAATTAGCTGGTCCGTGGCCCCGAAAAACTAGGGGAACAATGGGCTACAAAGAACACACCGAGTAATTTTCAAATTCAGAAAACAACTTCCGAACAAAAATTAATCCCGCCAATAATTTCGCAATACAACACGTTCAACTCCGACCTAAACAGCTTGCTTTCCACGAAAGGGTTGCCAACATAAAACAAGCGTTTTAGACATAAAAAAATAAAAATATGCAACTCACCAGTAACTTCATCGTTACGCACGGAGACGTCGGAGGAAACAGGAGCGGGTTTGTAAGATTGTTCAAACTTGGAGAAGGCTTGCTGATTGACCGCAGTTTTCAAGTTGGACGCTTCCCCACTGCCCAGAATTTTAGCACGCGACAAAACATCTTTCGCGATTCGCTTAATGTCCGTTTTCGTGTGTTGGTTGACGAAGTTTGCAACCACTTCCCAGCTTTGAAACAAAACATGAATACGAAAGAATTAAAAACATTCGTATAAAATACAAATCATAAAACAGGAAATAGTTGAAGGATTGTATTCGCAAAATGCACAAATCTCATAATAAATTCTTCGCACAATGGACTTGGGCTTTTTTTTTTTTGCCTAGGAAAGGAAACCTTGTTTTGGATGATGGCTTCATTGAAATTAATTGATTTTTCTGTTTCGGTGACAGCAAACGATTATTCGGAACACGTTCAAATTACTTGGATCATATACGTTCCGGATAATGGACTTCCCACAGAAGGAGATCTCAAAGCAAATTATCCATTCCACAGAGCTTCCTCTTACTTAATGTCTTAATCGGATGATTTTTTTTTTCGTTGACAGCGACCGATTATTCGGAACTGTACAAGTTTAAATCACTTGGTCCAAATACGTTCCAGATAATGGACTTCCAACAGAAGGAGATATCAAAGCAAATTAGCCATTCAACAGAGCTTCCTATTACTTGAACGGATGATTTTTTTTTTCATTGACAGCAACCGATTATTCGGAACTGTACAAGTTCAAATCACTTGGTCCAAATAAGTTCCGGATAATGGACTTCCAACGAAAGGAGATCTCGAAACACAAAAAAACTGTGTCTTCGTCGTTTTCGAGAATACTTTCGACTCATTGGACAGTTTCAAGAGTATCTTTACCGTTGTGAGGTTCCAGCAGGGAACAAGTTAACTGCTTTGATGAGAAGTTGTAAATCCTCGTGGGACCACTTGTCCGACTTGTCTCCGTCTCTTGCTCCACTCGCGGTGCCATTCGTTCTCATGTAATTGCCTATGGTCTCCTCCTTTTCAATCTCCAACTTGGATCGCATGTACGCCACTTGCTCCTCGAAAGCTTCTTTCGCACGGGACGTGCCCAACGCTTCATTCAGTTCTTTCAATCTAGCGGAGGAAATCGCAAACGTATGTTTGAATAATCCTGAACTATGCGAGAAAGTGACGGATCAAGCAAGCGCAACAAAATATTAGCAATGTCAAAACATCATTCAAAATACGTGAATAGATACAGTTGAACCTCGATGACTCCAGCCTTAATCGCATAATTCACCTTGTCAAAATTTTTGCGAGTCCCCGTCTGAATTCAAGAATTTACAAAATATTATTTTTCAAGGATTCAAAATTGAACATCAAGTTATTTTATGGAAAATCGTCGCTCAGAAACGAAGCATCGAAAACAACTTTAAATCGAAGGATTTTCCTCCAAAAACGACCATAAGCCTAATTTTCTGGAGGCCTTTTGGCTATAATATTGACACCGGAAAGGGAGAAGCAATGAAAATGTAACTCAATGTGTTACATTCTCTCCGATTCTCTCCGATTTGTTCATTCAACTAAACCTCATACAGAAACAAGCTGAAGACCATGTGCTTTAAATTAATTTTTACATATACATCTTTTTTTTTATCAATGTCAGGGAGTGAATGGGTGTATGCATACATGTCACGATGTCCAGTTGTATTTCATGTTGTAATGTAATTTCTTTTATTTTTGTTATCAATTTGTGCTTTCCGGCTCTGCAGTGATTAAATGTCATTGAGTGGATTTGGGCTGGGTGGGAAGGGGGTGTGGTTGTGGAAATCTTGAATGAATCTTGTGAATGCTGAGAAGCGGCAAATAAAGTGTTCTGTTCATTCATTCATTCACTCAATGCAATTTGAAAGGAATTGAAAGACTAATTGGGCAAATAAACCCTTGTCTTCAAATTCAGCATTTTTCCAAACTCAATTCAAGGCCTAGAATATTATCAATTGCAATATCCTCTTCTTTCTCTCCCCCAACAAAATTTCTCATTTTCCCGCTGGTCCCTTGAGGTTCGACAGTATCAAATTCTGCGCATGGTTACACAGAAGTCCGACGATAAATTTACCAGAAAGCATTGTTCCTTATTAAGCTTTCACTCAATAAAAAAAATTAAAAATTGAAACCCAATTCGTTAAAAGGGTTCACGAAACTTGACGGTTCGAGTACGTAAGGGATACACACACAAAGGCTATGAATAACTTTACAAACATGGTCGGAGAAACAATGGCGACTGTTGACTCATGTTTATTCCTTCAAAAATTCGTTTATGAAATGACACGGAAGAGTAGCAACGCTACCGAGAGAGAAAACTCACTACAGTATCCGATATAAATAGCATCAAAAGTAAGAAATTAACCCGTTTAACGAGAAGCTTTTGTCGATGATTAAAAATAATAAACAATAAAATACTGTTATACGAGAATTGGTTCGACATGGATTCGTTATAGTAATTTTTTTCTCTCTCAAGAATGCTCACCGTAAAAGGTCTAATCCTTCACACAATCGCTCAACCTCTTCCATAGCTTGCACACGATCCCCGTCCGATTCCGTGAAGTAATTTTTCTCCTTGCATAAAGTGCGAAGAACTTTGCGCTCTTTCTTGAGAGATTTCTTCTGTTGCTCCCTTTCCTTCTTCTCGATATCTGCACGCGCTTTTTCAATGGCCTCTGCTTCTTCCTTTAATCTTTTTTCTTCAGCTTCTGCAGCCAACCGCTCCTAGAATTGTAAAAAAAAAATTATATATATATTGAAAAGCACGGTAGAAACTGAACATCAACGTTGCTAAAACCTTACCTCCAAGTTACTTATTGGAATATGGTACTACTCAGGATGTGTATACAAGGATAATCAGTTCAATTGTAAACCAAAAGATTAGCAAGCCGCCCCTCGCGATGAGAATGTGGCGGCTGTGAATGAAAAGGGCTTTTTTTTTCTCGTGCCAAGGAATGTTTGATCTAAACAATAATCGCTTCTCAGCTCGATCATACGCCGTTACGAAGTTTATTCACACAAGAGGATTCATAACTTTAGACACAAATAGCAGGTAAAACACAATACACCGAAAACTGATATTCACCTGTTCTTCTTTCTCTTTCTTCAACCTAATGGCTTCTTGACGCGCACGTTTTTCTCCCGCCTTCCGCTCTTTCTCTTCTTCACGAAACCTTATAATCCTAGGGTCGCAATTGTAAGCATTGTCCACCAGCTCACGAATTCGAGCAATTTCTTCTTTTCTACGCGATTTTCTCGCAACCCTGTTTTGTTTCTCTATCCATCTTCTTTCCTCTCGACTGAAAAGAAGAGGCGAAAAAAAGTGAGTTGACCTCACATAACACTGAATCCTCGGCTCAAAGATGCTCACTCTTGGCCCTTCTCCTTTTCCTCTTCGTCCAAGTAGGAAAATTCGCGCCATGATTCGAAGTCGTACCAGAACGTGTAAAATGCCTCGACAACTTCTCTGGGACTGTCGACATCTCCAAGTCCGGGAACAGGTTCAATGGTAGACCATCTCGCGTTGCGCTCGAATACAGGACCAAAGACCTTCGAAAGACATGAAAAACGATGATGAAGATACGGGAAAATCAGGCTTGAATACCTAGAGACTCCCGCTAAGCGATTTACGGTCGCTTGCCGGGGAAAACATTTTTCACCTCTATTCAAGCAATACAAAAACTGCACCAAAAACTTACCGACTGTATGGAAAGAATGAATTCGCGAAAATTGAACTACGACATTCGCACGATTACTACCGTAAAAATAAATCTCACGTATTCAAAATTCTTGACAAGGATTTTGTAAAATTCTCATCATCCAGGTCTTTCTGCTTCTTTGCAGGAACTTCAAAACCAGGGAGAAAAATCGTAGAAGCATCCGAATGCTATATTGAACATTAAAATTGTGTATTTCTGTCTTAAGCCACGGAGAAAGAGGGTTTCGTGATACAGTACATCACATATGAGAATGACAGTACTATACTAAGTTGCATTACCAGTTGAAACAAGATCAAATGCATACCTCGAAAAACTTAGCCTTGCTTGAGGGAGACTGAGATGGGGTATCGTCGTCGAAATCGGGGTCAACGGAATCGTAGGAGATTCGTTTTGCCTGAGTGCCGAGGATTTCGAAGGCTCTTGTAATGCAGACGAAATAATCCTCGTCGCGATTGACCTTCTCTCCGGCGGCCATGCGTTTGTCCGGATGATGACGAAGGACCTTCTGGCGATCTGAATACAAATGGATGATCATGCAATATTCTGCTATCACGAATGTTACGAGAAGAAATCTCACAGGCTTTCCTGATATCTTCTTCTGTGGCCCGATATCGCAACGACTTCAGACCGAGAACGGCGTAATGGTCTTGATCCTGCGAAGAATGCAGTTTTTTTTAATGAAAAAGTTTTCTCTGAAACACACTTTTGCCGAACGTACTTTCCATTTCCTAGGATCTAATTTTCTCAGATATTCAACATCGTCTTCGATGACAAGTCCTTCAGTTTCCAACGGTTTTTCGCTCAAAACGTTCGCAGTCGATTCATCCGAAATAGAATTCGTCAAACGGTGTTGACGAAGCATATAAGCTTCGAACCATCTTCCAATAGGCTCCACCACGCGAACCTTAAACCCTTAATTATGAGCGAAACTTTACTACAGTACATGCATTGGAACACGAACGCTTCACTGACTTACGAGATATTCGGATTCGTGGAGCAAGTTCGTCTCCTCCGCCATCGGGCAGTAAAATCTCCGTCATCTTCTTCGTTATTTTTTCAACCAGCTGGAGAGTGTGTTTCTCGGAGTTTAAGAATTTCGCGAACACGTGTCTGCGAAATTACGAGATCACCGCACATCAATGTTATCACGAAGAGATTCAGCTATTCCCGCGTAAACACTATAAAATGCAACCTTTCCTTGTAAGATTATCACGGCTCCTCGGTATCCCTCATCACACGCTCAATTGATCACGTTTTCCCTCGCAAAACTAATGCAACGCACACCGCACCGCGGGGAAACCGTGGGTTTTGGCCCTTCGTCGGCAACCGGAGACCGGTCAAGAACTCTAGATGTCACCCGAATCGTGTCGACGGAACGAACTTCCGTACTACAGAACAGCACAGTACAGGTATTGTATTTGTCAAAGTTACATTAGTCATGGACCCATATGCTGGCGAATGTGTAGAAGATGAGCTCATGTGTAAGAATACGTGGAACATTATTTCAGCAGTCTTGTCTGCAGCAGACAACAAGCACCAAAATGATTATTCCATGCATAAGGCATTATTGTTCATTCATAATTGGAGCAGAAAACGTATACTGTAGTACAGTATATCATACTCATACTTCTACATTTTTTTCTAATTACTGACAAATTCAAAAAATATTTCCATTGTAATACAGCATATTATTTATGTTGTAGCTGACAAACGGTCATGCTGAAATGCAATTTTTTAACCCAATTGCCTGCATGGCCATAACTCAATAACTTCCCGTTTTCTACTTATCTACTGTATTTGTATCTACTTGTATTTATATGCATATAGTACTCGTGTATATATGGTTGAAATTCCATATAATAATAAAGTAAAAGTGATGATAATGAGCTACAATAATTGCAATTACGCTAATAACAAGTGAAATATGGTTAAGAAAGAAATCTTGCTACACCCACACTATATGTAATGAAAAATAGCCCAAAACAATTACTAAATTCATGAGAACAACTTGACTATTGAAGTTTTTTTCTTATTTTTGTTGGAAAAAATCAGAAAAAAATGTTAGTGTGGACATCAGAACGAAAATTTAGGTTGCTGCTGGGGTTTCCCGAATTTTGTCAATAAACCCTGATGTAGCAAACACTCATATTTATCCAAAAAGAACACTATAAAAAATAAATGCTGACTACTGTATTAAAAAAAAAACACTGAACAGGCAGGTGAAGACAAGCAGGGAAACTTGTTGTAATATCTGTGCTGAGTCTCTTCTAAACAATTATACTGGGGAGTGATTGTTCCAAAAAGTATAGTTTATCAGTTGCATGAGTTAGTATAGCAGGTAAACGCTAATGATTTTCCCAAGCATCCAGCACATTTCCTCCATTTTTAACATAATTTTTGCAGTTCATTAAAAATTACTTTGTTTCACCCCATCCCATTCTACATAGCAAATGCATGCATGGTGGAACCATTTTTGTTACTGGAATTTACAACTTGCATCCATGCTATGCATAACAGTCCATTTTGAAGGAACATTTTACCAGGGAAATCTATAACAAATTTCTCCAAAAAAAGTTTTTTTCTATTGAAAAAAATTATTGAATTTGTTGCTATTGTGGTAAAAAGATGTTACTGAATTCATAACTTATTTTATATAGATTCATCACAAACATTAATGTGGGTCCAATACATATGAATGATGCTGGTGAGTGTGAATTAATCACTTTGTATCTTAGTAAATAATTGATCAATTTCACTCTGTTAGTAAAGGATCATCAACTTTCAAACCAATATAACAAGTTATGCTTCCAGCCCAGATTGCTCAATTAATCTAAAAATTTTAAATTTAAGTTTTGTCAGTTTAAAAAAGAATTGCAATAATATGATTTGAAAACTGTTGCAATAGGTATATTAATGGGCTATATGATGTTAAAATGTGATGCTTTTACCTTATAACAGGACATTTTTTCCACAAAAATAAAAGGAAAATGCATGCCACATTTATTTATATCTGACATATATGCACTGTATGTATCAGTCATTAAGTTCTGTTGGCTTACAAAAACATTCAATGGCATTTTTAAAGTCCTTGAGCCAATTTATAAATGCCAAGCACCAGATGCATTGCTTTGTATGGCACAACGAGAGCTGAAACAATGATACTTTTGGGTATACAGTATATAGTCCTCTGCTGGCACCATCTTTTTTCCTTGTTTTTGGATGTATAGCTCCTGATGGTGGCAAAACTATAAATATATGCCTCACACAAAGCATCCAACATATCTATACATTCAATAAAGAAAACACAAGCTTGCAGTAAATAACATTTATACACTTCTGAGGTGCTGCACAAAATTGTGGTTCAAACAGAAAAATAATAAATTGCTGAAGAAAAGTTGTGTGCTATATTCAAGCATGGGAATTTTTTTCTCTATATGAATTCCTGCTTATATATGCTTGTCCCTCCTATTCATACCAGAAAATTCTTGATTTGAATAAACCAGCAGTGAATTTGTATATATACTCATTAAAATCAACATTTCTTTGCACTTTTTCTAAGTGCACACATTTGAGCCTTGGCCCTGGCAGCACATGCCTGTGCTTCCATGGCTTTACGCTGACTACAGATACTCTGAATATGTTGAGCTGCTTCATTTTTCCTCATCATGCACATGCTTTCCTTGGCTGATGCTTCACATGCGTCAGTTGCTGTGTCAGATGTTGGTGGAGCACAAGTGAGTGCTTGAGTTGCTGGAGCACATGTTGTGGGGGGTTGGGTTGGGGGAGTACATGTAGTGGGTGCTTCAGTTGGTGGTGGAGCACATGTGGTGGGTGCTTGAGTTGGTGGGGCACATGTTGTGGGTGGCTGGGTTGGTGGAGCACATGTGATGGGTGCTTGAGTTGGTGGAGCAGTTGGTGGAGCAAGTGTAGTGGGTGCTTCAGTTGGTGGTGGAGCACATGTGATGGGTGCTTGAGTTGGTGGTGCAGTTGGTGGAGCAAGTGTAGTGGGTGCTTCAGTTGGTGGTGGAGCACATGTGATGGGTGCTTGAGTTGGTGGTGGAGCACATGCAGTGGGTGCTTGAGTTATTGGTGGTGGAGTTGGTGGAGCAGTTGGTGGAACAGTTGGTGGTGGAGCACATGTGGTGGTGGGTGCTTCAATAATTGGTGGAGCACATGTAGGGGGTGCTTGAGTAGGTGGAGCAGTTGGTGCTTCAGTTGGTGGTGGAACACATGTGATGATGGGTGCTTCAGTTGGTGGAGGAAGTGTAGTGGGGGCTTCAGCTGGTTGAACACATACTGGGGGTGCTTGACTTGGTGGAGCACAAGTGGGGAGTGTTTCAGTAACTGCTGGTGGAGCACAAGTAGGGAGTGCTTCAGTAACTGGTGGAGCACAAGTAGGGAGTGCTTCAGTAACTGCTGGTGGAGCACAAGTAGGGAGTGCTTCAGTAACTGCTGGTGGAGCACAAGTAGGGAGTGCTTCAGTAACTGGTGGAGCACATGTTGGGAGTGCTTCAGTAACTGGTGGAGCACATGACATTGGTGCTGCAGTTGGTGGAGCACATGTGTTGGGAGCAGCTGTAGTCTGACCACATGCAGCACCATTTATAGAAGCACTGGGGGATCCTAATTCATCCCTCAGAAGACCAAGATGTGGATGACCAGGAATGCCACCAGAAGGTCTTGTCCCAAAACTCCTCTGTTTTGAAGCTGGCTGAGCAGCAGAAGGACCTCTGGATTTACCTGGCCCAATAAACAGCTGTTTTGAACTTGGCTTAACAGCAGAAGAACCACCAGATTTACTTGGCTCAACAAACAGCTGTATTGAACCTGGCTTTCTAGCTGCAGAAAACCTTGCAGGTCTACCTGGCCTTTTTTGTAAGCCTCTTTTTTTGGCAGAAGAGCCACCACGTTTACCAGGCCTTTTTTGCAAGCCTCTTTTTTTGGCAGAAGGGCCACTTTGTTTACCTGGCCTTTTTTTCAAGCCTCTCTTTTTGGCAGAAGGGCCACCATGTTTACCTGGCCTTTTTTTCAAGCCTCTTTTATTGGTAGAAGGGCCACCTTGGTTATCTGGCCTTTTTTTCAAGCCTCTTTTATTGGAAGAAGGGCCACCATGTTTACCTGACTTCTTTTTTGAACCACGTTTACCAGAACAAGTTTTACCTTTCTTCTTCTTTGAGCCCTTTCTAATGACACCAGATTTACCTGGTTTCTTTTTTGATGCACGTTTAACAGAAGAAAGAGCACCAGATCTACCTGCTGTTCCAACAGGGTGCTTATTCAAGCCTTGCTTGTTGAGTGAAACTGCTGCTGCTGGTGCTCTGAACAGGTTGATGATGTCAGCTTTCTGTTGACCTTCACTTGTATTGTCAACAATATTTTGTTCATTTTCTTCAACAGAATCTTCTTGCTCTGATCTCAGAGAATTGTTTTCATTCTTGTCTGTGACTGATGGTGGATTCTGGAGATCTGCTGGAGCAGCATCTGTATAGAGGTATGAGGAAATACTGCATACATAAATACACAGATGCAGTATACATGCATATGATATACAGTGAGACCCCCAACAGATGTGGTGCATCAAAGAGCGTCCCCAAGTCAAAATGTCCGTAAGTTGAGTCTCATTTTCCCTTAGACTTACATTGTATAATTTTTAATTGGTGTTTTATGGAAGAAAAGATTTATCAGAATTCCATAAAGAAAATTGTTTGCCAATTGAATTTGATTCAGTGAATATCTTTCAACTCAATAAGAACATTTTGAGCATTGATTATTGTATCTCTGTTCAGTGTACGTTGAAATATTGGCAAATGTAAAAATAAAACTCAAGTCACAAAGAGAGGAGGAAGTTTCTCTATATACTATAGGTATTTTTTTTTCAATTACCTGAATGGATGAGAAAATGATGGGAAAAATACCATGCCATAATTAGATTACACTTGAATCCTGAAGAAGTTCTATAATTGGTAATGACAGAATGTAAGCCTTAATCTACATACAGTATATTGTTTGTCTCATTGTTGGTGGGTTCAAATCAAAACTCATGCAAACAAAATGGTGCTTTGTGGAACATATAAAATTATTTCTTTCTCTATAGCTCTCTCTATCAATCTTACAAGAAATGTGAGGCACACTTATTGCATTTCAGCTCATCATGAGTCATGTAGCCATAACCCTCTATCTATATACTTAACATGAGTTCAGTTTCTATTCCAATAATGTGTACATTCTTCTGAACAATTGGACAATTGGGGAAATACAGATATTGTGGGAAAACATGGAATGTGTTTGGGGTACCCACTGAATGTAGACTGGTTTTAAATTGAGCAAAACAATTTTCCAAAGGCGTCTTTGAACCCAAAAGTGGGGACATGAACTTATAATTGATTGGGTTGATTTTTCTTTGGTTTCACAAATTATTCATAAATATTGGTTTTGCAATGATATCATCTTACATCTGTGTATTATAACTATTATAAGCCACTTGATGAGGTAAAAAGGGCATTTTCATTTATTTAAAAAGGCTAGATTTGGAAATATATTTAGAGAATTCAGAGCAATGTTGTTCTAGAGTGAGCACTTCAAATTTTCTTCATTAATATTCTCAAAACAATTGTTTTGTTTGCATATAGAATCCACCCACATATATTTTTACACACTGTAATACAGTACACTAAGTTTCTGCAATATTATATGCACCTGCCATTTTTAAAATTCTTCTTCAGAATTTTTAAAAGAATATGTTCTATAATTTTCTAAGTTTCAGCATGATTTTAACTGCATATAAATGTTGAGAATATACTTGTCTTAGTCTGAAAATGTTGTTAATGTAAAAATGTTTACATTTTGGTGTTTTCTTTGACAAATGCAGTACTGCATCTATTTAGTCAAGTCCAACAGATGAGCACCTCCTATTTATAGTTTAAACATGGAATGAAAAAGCATACCCCAAGCACAGGCCAGATTTTTTGTGACTGAAATTTTTAAAATCTCAAAAATGAAGCTCATGGAAATTTTATTTTGACTTGAAGTGAGCCAAACTTTAAATTTTTCAATAAACTCTATTCAGATGTTGGGTATTTCAGCTTCAATTGAGTCTAACATTTCCCACATAAGACTCAACCATAACATGCACATTAACTATATAGATACTCACCAGCAGTTATTGTAGCAGCAGGCTGCAAGTTAATCTTTGACCAGGCCTCAGACCAGGAAACAGGCTGGAACTCACTCAAGTTTAAATTTCTGAATATACTGCTTCCTCCAGCTTGTGAGAAGACAAAGGCTGTATCCATAATCATTGTTATAGACATATGTCATTCAAATTGTATTTCCATATACATATTTACTCTGACCTGTGATGACAAGAGCTTGACAAATGCTCAGACATGGATTTCCCATGTCTGAATCCCACTGTTCTCAGCTTTCCACAAAACAAACTTCAGATGGAGGATGTACTGAATAAAATGACCAGATTTTTTGCATAGCCTGCTGGAATTATTTAGCAGTTGGCATGCCATGCTGACATTGGCAGCTTTTCCCTTATTGTGATCTATACACATATTATGCGAGGAAATATAATTCTGTAAATATGAGACAGGCAGTTTGCAAGCTTATAATCTGCTGCTCAAACAGAAAAAATGTAGATTCTCTTTCAGTACACAGTCTTCCTCTGGAATCATATACAGCATTACAATTTTGCACAATCAAGCACAGAATCTCTCTCAAAATAAAATACTAATGATAAGCATTCCCCCTCTTTAAAATCAATTGCAGCATTCAACACTCTGCCTTTCTTGAAAATAAATGTTGGTCCTCTTGACTGTTGATGAATTTTATGAGACTACAGCAGTATTCATGAAGTTTCTCAACAGTATAGGTATAATCAAGTTTCCATTTACTGTAAATTTACATTAACTATAAAGCAATCATTGCTGAAATAGGAATTGAGTAAAACAAATGTTTTGTATAGTTTAAAATTTTTCTGAGAAGTGACTTTTTGAGCACCTCATGAGCATGGCCAATGCTAGCAAATAGGTTGCCAATGTGGTTAGACTTATTGGGTGCCCATTGCAGAAATAATTCTTACTTTTTCTATGGGCAATAAGGTTCATGCTTTTTTGTGTGTGCATATATATGGTAACAGAAGGAGATTTGTGATTTTTACAGCTGGTATTTGTTAATTGATGTGGTTTTCATTGAGTTATTGCAAATGGGTTTTTTTCAATGAATTTTCATCCAAGGACTTTTCTATATTTTCTGTAGGACACAATTTTCAGTACCAGAATTGTTTCTTTCCTCTATATATAGCTTCTGAAAATGAGAAATTATCAGCAATCCTGTAAATTGAGTCAAATTAATCATATATTAGGAATCTGGAATACGTACATTATTTGACAGACATCCATTTTTGGCTCATTTATTGGTCACTGTGAGGAAATTATTAATTTTCTTTTGGAGAAACTTCATTTCAGCAAATGTCACCTGAGCATTCTTTATGTACAGCTATAGTAGCTGTATCAGAAAATAAATATTCTTACTTATTAATGTGTAAGAATATTATTGCAAATCATGGGCATGCTCTTCTTTACTGTCCATGCCTTACTTTGATTGAATACAAGCTTATCTGCTGCTTTTCAGCATGCACAAGGGTTAAAAAGTGTGTCACCCCCCCCCCCCTCCCCCACAACACATCCATGAAAATGTTAAAATATACTGCACATTCATAGAATATTAGAAGAAAAATAACTCATTATTGAATGGGTATTATTGAAATAAAATGAATCACAGCCCATTAAAATGCCTGAGTTGCTTTTTGTATGACAATAATCACAGCACAATAAGGCAATTACTGAGCAACAATTAAAGCACAATGGTTCTTGTGACCGTTCTGTGAAACTTGAGACCATAAAATTACACATCAGTTGAAAGAGAATTGAACAAGCTTTCATTTGGTGTTTTTCTTATTGCCACACAGCTCAATGTTCTACCAAGTTATTTCAAGTCAAAAATTGGTTTACTTCTTTTGGCCCACCCTGTATATTTTTTCTGGCTATTTTAATATTGTTGCATGTGTGTTCCACCTGTGGACCTCTTTATTCTGGCTTCTTTATTTGATCCACTTTTATTCAACCATTTGTCCAGTTTCTTTTGCTGGAAAATAAAAAGGTCATAGGCAGTAATTTATTCACAGGGAATGGAAAAGCAATGAAAATTCCCATTAACTATGAAAAGTTGCTACAAATCAAGATTTCTCAGGAAATTGTACCATTGTTTCAGAATGATCATCATCAGTTCAATAAATCAGCCCTTATATTTCTAGGAAAATCACAAATACATTTCAAAGCAAAATGACAATTTCTCATATTACTTTTGAAGAAAAGCCCACTAAAACAACAACAAAAATGAACTTGATAATTTATTGTGGGCAAAAAATACTACTGCTGGACTATATTGGAAAGTTTGAGGAAATATGTTTAGACTAGATAAATTTCTTCTTTGACATGCTGTGTGCAAATAAAAATTGAAATAAAATGTACAACAACTTTGCCATCCATCAAAATCTTTCATGGAATATCCACCATTTGCAATCCTCCTTTATTTCCAATATCAAAAGCAAGTCATGCTGATTGGAGAAGATTTGAGTATATATACTGGCTATATCCTTAATTAGCAGTTTACCTGTACATAGGACATTGATGATGTACTATACAGTGGCCCCCTGCCTAACACACCTCACATGTAAGGGATTTTTGCCAAACAGACGAGCTCTGCAAGCAGTTTTTCCTCCCGCCCAACAGACAAAATCCACCAACAGACTTCTTTTGGTTTAAAATTATACTTTTTGTCTAACAGACTCGTCCCTTGCACAAATCAAGTCCATTAGATGGGGGTTGACTGTATATAGATATATAGGGTTCCTGAAGATCATATCTCTTTTCAATGGGAAGGGTATAAAAGGTCTGAGGAAATTCACCTCACACACATTCTTCTATACTGACTCTGCCTGTAAGCAAGGTAATTGTGCAACTGAGCAAAACCAGATTTTTATCATTATTGACAAAAATGGAACGTTCTTTTGTAACTTTGAAATGAAAGATATCCTGTTTTTTTAAATGGGAAGCATCTCAGATTGGTTGCATATACCAACCAACTGCTGTAGTATATATATTCATTTTTTGGAGCTCATGATTGTGAAAAGAAATGTATGATTTCTAAACTCAACGCTTTGCTCCAATTCTGTCATGCTGTGACTTGAATATCCATTTGTTCAGTGAAATAAAAGTACAGCCTTCGCTGCTATTCCAGCATGCAAATTTGCTCTTGATAAATTTAAAAAATCATGGCTTCTTGGGTGGGATGGGAATGGGTGAACCATTTCCATTAAATGGAGGTGACACAATTATGCTATTGATCAACTGCATGATTTCAGCCAATTTGGTGTTCAGAAGATTGCCCAGTGTTTCAAAAAATAATAATAAATCAGAGGATGTCAGACAAGCTTTGCAATCAGCTGGTGCTGGAGCAGTTATTGTGGCTGGTGTTGCTGAGGTAGTTGCCAGAGTAGCACAAGTAATGGGTGCATATGTGGTAGGTGCTTGAGCAGGTGGAGCACATGTGGCTTTAGCAGTTGGTTGAGCACATGTGGGAGGAGCTTTAGCAGTCAGCAGACTAGCAGGATGTGTTGGAATGGGTGTAGCACATGTTGGAAGGACTGAGACAGCAGGTGTGTTTGCTGTTGGTAGACCACATGGGTTACTGGTAGCAGTATTAGTCTGACCAGCACATGCAGCATTTATAGTTCCAACAGAAGGAATGGGTGGCCTTGAATCAGCCCTCATAATCAGAAGAGCATGTGGATAACCAGGATGATATGTCCCAACATTATGCTTTTTTGTAGATGGCTGCAAAGCAGGAGGACCACTGGATTTGAATGACCCAATAAGCTGCTGTTGTGAACCTGATGGCTTGACAGCAGTAGAAAGGACGACCAAGTTACCTGTTAAAATGAATAGCTGTTTTTAACATTGCTTAATAATAACAGCAGAAGAATAATCATCAGATTTTTGTGGCTATAAATATAGTCATTTTGAAACTGGCCTAATATAGCAGAATCAAAGCCTTGAAAAGTTACCTGGCCTTTTTTGTGGGCCTCTTTTATTTGGCAGAAGGACCACCATATTTATCTGTCTTTTTTTCTGAACTTCATCTACCAGAACAAGTTTTTCTTGGCTACTTCTTTGAGCCTTTTTTTCCACTGACTTGCACCTTTTCACCTGGTTCCTTTTTGTTCATGTTCAAGATTAGAAAGAGCACCATCAGATATGCATACCTGCTGATGGGTACTTATTTAAGCCTTGCTTGTTGGGTGAAACTGCTGGTGCTCTGAACTGGTTGGGATGAAGGCCAGTTTCTTGGCCTTCAATAACATTGTCAACAATATTTTGCACATCCTCTTCAACAGACTCCTCATCCTCAGAGCTGAAGGCATGGTTTCCATTATTCTTGTTTGTGACCAGTGGACTCTGGAGATCTGGAGCAGAACCTGTATACATGTGACAAAATACTGTATATACATGCATACATTTATATGGCTCAATGAGAGCTACAGCAAAAGGATTAATTCTGTGTCTACCTGCTGAATATTCTCTATGAGCATGAAAAATAATGATTTTATCTAGCTGAGAGAATTTGATAATTTGTTTGCAAATCACTGAAGAATTTCTGAATATGATAATAAAATGTGTGCCACCAGTCTATTTATATTTATTTTTTTTTGTTGGGTGCAAATAAGACACATGCAAAAGAAAGGGATTTTTTGGTAACACAGCATGTTCTTGTCTGATGCTGATGCTTATTTTTTTTGTGTTTAAGAGAAACTCATGGTTATATAGCAAAGGATTTATATTCTTGAATGGTCACTGAAACATTCCTAATCCCCTTTTATCATATTACAGTATTGTGCATGTCTTTGAAGTTACATGAATGACTATGATGAGTGATCCACTACATAAATATTTCCATCCAATTTAAATCCAAATAATGTATATAAAGCAGAACAAGAAAGATATTTAAGCAATGATTTGCAAATAAAATTTTCTGCATTGGTATTCTCAGCATAATTCTTCTATCTTTTAGAGAATCCTGCACCCATACATGTTTAGGTCAAAGGGGTGTATGCTGATGCTATAAGTGTACTATTAAATACAGTACTGTACAGTATATTCTGCATCATCTGAAATTTATTTAAAAATGCTTTTACAAATTTTTGGGAAGAATATGTGCCATAATTTCCAAGTTTCAGCATTATTACAATTGGATATATGTTGGAAGAATAGTTTACTTTAGAATACAAAGTTCCTGAATGGCACACAAGTGTATGCACTTTGGTTTTACATCTGACAAATACATGATTTAATCAAGTATCAAAACATCTTTGAGTATTTAAAATATCCAGCTCCAACCTTCAGTCTGATTCTTTACATTAAAAAACACCTTATTTTTTGGGTGAGGCCTGTGTCTAACTGAAAAATTGTGGCTGAAAAATCAAAAAATCTCAAAAATGAAGTTCATGAAAATTTTAGTTTGATGAATTGAACCTAACTTAAATTCCATTGTGTTTTGAATTCATTTTTTCTTTAAAGACTGTGGCTTTAAATGGGTCAAACACTTCTCCACATGTGACATAAATGTACCTGATCTTGAAAAAAAAACACTCATGCACTGTACAAAGAAAACTCACCAATTGCAGCAGGCTGTGATAATAAGGTAATCTTTGACCAGGCCTCAGACCAGGAAACAGGCTGGAACTCACTCAAGTTTAAATTTCTGGATATACTGTTTCCTCCAGCTTGTGAGAAGACAAAGGCTGTATCCATAATCATTTTTAGACATGTCATTCAAATTGTATTTCCAAAACCTGACCTGTGATGATAAGAGCTTGATACATTTTCAGGCATGGTTTCCCCATGTCTGATGGATTCCACTGTTCTCAGCTTTCCACATAACAAACTTCAGATGAAGGATGACTGAATGAAATGACCAGATTTTTTCATAATATGTTAGAATTATTTAGCAGTTGGCATGCTGACATTGGCAGCTTTTCCCTTGTGATATAAACATGTTATGCTAGAAAGTGTAATTTTGCAAATACCAGGCTGCTCAGTTTGCAAGGTCATAATATGTTGCTCAAACAGAAAAATATAGACTCTCTTTTAGTGCACATGCAGTCTTCCTCTGAAATCACACAGTATATATATGCTGGTATAAATATATTTATATATAATGNCTGTTGGTAGACCACATGGGTTACTGGTAGCAGTATTAGTCTGACCAGCACATGCAGCATTTATAGTTCCAACAGAAGGAATGGGTGGCCTTGAATCAGCCCTCATAATCAGAAGAGCATGTGGATAACCAGGATGATATGTCCCAACATTCTGCTTTTTTGGAGATGGCTGCAAAGCAGAAGCACCACTGGATTTGAATGGCCCAATAAGCTGCTGATGTTGTGAACCTGATGGCTTGACAGCAGTAGAAAGGACAACCAAGTTACCTGCTAAAATGAATAGCTGTTTTCAACATTGCTTAATAATAACAGCAGAAGAATAATCATCAGTTTTATGTGGCTATAAATATAGTCATTTTGAAACTGGCCTAATATAGCAGAATCAAAGCCTTGAAAATTTACCTGGCCTTTTTTGTGGGCCTCTTTTATTTGGCAGAAGGACCACCATATTTATCTGTCTGTTTTTCTGAACTTCATCTACCAGAACAAGTTTTTCTTGGCTACTTCTTTGAGCCTTTTTTTCCACTGACTTGCACCTTTTCACCTGCTGGTTCCTTTTTGTTCATGTTCAAGATTAGAAAGAGCACCATCAGATATGTATACCTGCTGGGTACTTATTTAAGCCTTGCTTGTTGGGTGAAACTGCTGGTGCTCTGAACTGGTTGGGATGAAGGCCAGTTTCTTGGCCTTCAATCACATTGTCAGCAATATGTTGCACATCCTCTTCAATAACAGACTCCTCATCCTCAGAGCTGAAGGCATGGTTTCCATCATTCTTGTTTGTGACCAGTGGACTCTGGAGATCTGGAGCAGAACCTGTATACATGTGACAAAATACTGTATATACATGCCTAAATTTATATGGCTCAATGAGAGCTACAGTCAACCCCGGTCTAACGGACTTGATTTGTGCAAGGGATGAGTCTGTTAGACAAAAAGTCCTTTACACGAATTCAATTACATAAAAAATTGAAAATTTCAATTTTCAACACTAATTTTAAACCAAAAGAAGTCTGTTTGGCCAATTTTGTCTGTTGGGCGGGAGGAAAAACTGCTTGCAGAGCTGGTCTGTTTGGCAAAAATCCCTTACACGGGAGGTCTGTTAGGCGGGGGGCCACTGTACAGCCAAAGGATTATTTCTGTATTTACCTGAATATTCCGCATGGACATGAAAAATAATGATTTTATCTAGCTGAGAGAATTTGATAATTTGTTTGCAAATCACTGAAGAATTTCTGAATATGATAATAAAATGTGTGCCACCAGTCTATTTATATTTATTTTTTTTTGTTGGGTGCAAATAAGACACATGCAAAAGAAAGGGATTTTTTGGTAACACAGCATGTTCTTGTCTGATGCTGATGCTTATTTTTTTTGTGTTTAAGAGAAACTCATGGTTATATAGCAAAGGATTTATATTCTTGAATGGTCACTGAAACATTCCTAATCCCCTTTTATCATATTACAGTATTGTGCATGTCTTTGAAGTTACATGAATGACTATGATGAGTGATCCACTACATAAATATTTCCATCCAATTTAAATCCAAATAATGTATATAAAGCAGAACAAGAAAGATATTTAAGCAATGATTTGCAAATAAAATTTTCTGCATTGGTATTCTCAGCATAATTCTTCTATCTTTTAGAGAATCCTGCACCCATACATGTTTAGGTCAAAGGGGTGTATGCTGATGCTATAAGTGTACTATTAAATACAGTACTGTACAGTATATTCTGCATCATCTGAAATTTATTTAAAAATGCTTTTACAAATTTTTGGGAAGAATATGTGCCATAATTTCCAAGTTTCAGCATTATTACAATTGGATATATGTTGGAAGAATAGTTTACTTTAGAATACAAAGTTCCTGAATGGCACACAAGTGTATGCACTTTGGTTTTACATCTGACAAATACATGATTTAATCAAGTATCAAAACATCTTTGAGTATTTAAAATATCCAGCTCCAACCTTCAGTCTGATTCTTTACATTAAAAAACACCTTATTTTTTGGGTGAGGCCTGTGTCTAACTGAAAAATTGTGGCTGAAAAATCAAAAAATCTCAAAAATGAAGTTCATGAAAATTTTAGTTTGATGAATTGAACCTAACTTAAATTCCATTGTGTTTTGAATTCATTTTTTCTTTAAAGACTGTGGCTTTAAATGGGTCAAACACTTCTCCACATGTGACATAAATGTACCTGATCTTGAAAAAAAAACACTCATGCACTGTACAAAGAAAACTCACCAATTGCAGCAGGCTGTGATAATAAGGTAATCTTTGACCAGGCCTCAGACCAGGAAACAGGCTGGAACTCACTCAAGTTTAAATTTCTGGATATACTGTTTCCTCCAGCTTGTGAGAAGACAAAGGCTGTATCCATAATCATTTTTAGACATGTCATTCAAATTGTATTTCCAAAACCTGACCTGTGATGATAAGAGCTTGATACATTTTCAGGCATGGTTTCCCCATGTCTGATGGATTCCACTGTTCTCAGCTTTCCACATAACAAACTTCAGATGAAGGATGACTGAATGAAATGACCAGATTTTTTCATAATATGTTAGAATTATTTAGCAGTTGGCATGCTGACATTGGCAGCTTTTCCCTTGTGATATAAACATGTTATGCTAGAAAGTGTAATTTTGCAAATACCAGGCTGCTCAGTTTGCAAGGTCATAATATGTTGCTCAAACAGAAAAATATAGACTCTCTTTTAGTGCACATGCAGNTATATATATATATATATATATATAGATCACCTAAATAAGTGACTGCACCTTTTTTTTATCTAAAAATTAAGAAGTGTATCAGTTCTAATGCATTGACTTGTCTCTAAGCCTTCTCAGATTTCTTCAAAGTGTTTTCTTGATTGATATAGGCAGGTTTCCCTCTTCCCTTCTTTTTTTCAATTTGCCCTCTTTTGATCTACATTGTTCTTTGCTAGCTATTTTGACATTTAAACACTCCCTTCAACGCTGTAACATAATCTTTCTCAAAACAGCACAACAGAAACTGAATACTCTTATTCTTAAACACTTTTTTCAAAATCAAATCTATGCTGATTCTACACAAAAAAAACATAGCCTTGTGCTGCAGCTTGCTCCACAGGTCTTTCACCATAGTAGTTGCATTCTCATTTCTTCTGATAAAATTTATACATAAGTTCAGAATATTTGATTTGTTTGATTATGATGATATTTCAAACCCTGTTCCTTTTTATTCTACCTCACAAACACTCAGCCTTTGACTGCTATCCAGTGATTTACATATTATGTTAACTTCCAACTTTTACTATGGTGCCAAAATGTATCAATAAGTCAAGCTCCCTTCTCCAAAAATGTAATTAACTGAGTCATCTGTTTTCATTTCAAATTATAAAGTCTTGCTCCAATCTGAAAGTAATGTTCATCTTAATTCATTCATAAGAGCCACCTATTATTGTTGCTGAGGGACAAAAATTATTGTGATTCCCTTTGGAATATTTTGAGCTATCCTATATATGTAATATGTTCCCTGTAGCTCCTTTTTGAAAAATGTGTTGAATTTTTCCAAAATGCAGAACATTATAATGAATGGCTGTTTTTGACTTGAGCATATCATTCCTATACTTTTAAGTGCTGGTGAGTGCATTCAAATTTTTTTATAGAATTATGAAGAAAAGACCAATTTGTCAATTATTGTGGTCCTCTCCTTTTTATCTCTCAATTCACATTCATCACAACTTTTCCTTCTTCACAAAAGTCATTCAAGATACAAACAAGAAGTCTTATTCTGACAATTTTCCAAGTTGTTGAGATGTAAGCAGGGGAGACTTCAGAAAAGCAATGTCTTCTTCGGTGATCTTGTTGTGCAGAGAATATATTCCTCCCAACACATTTTGCAGAGTGTCAAATGACTGCAGCTAGAAAGTGTAAAGAAAAGCAGGCATTGGCCTTTTCTTTTTGTAGTGACACCTATATTCTTTGGAACGTTACACAACGGATGCATATTATAACTGGAGGTCGCTCTCTCTCATTCAACTCCTTTCCGGGAGCCGTCCACATTTGCGGAGTGAAGATCCTCCGATGAACATGTGTGCGGTCGGGTGTACCTTTCTGTGACGCAACATTATGGTACAACTTCCACTCAACGCAGCTCCATTCAACGCTACCTCTTCCACGCCACCCCTAGGAGCGCCAGCCTCTCATTGAGTGACTTCAACTGTAATGTTTTAGCAGTGTACAATGTAAATGGAGACTCCAAAGGACAAATAACACAGCACACAAATAAAACAAATTTTTTAAATAACTAAAAATATATGGTACTTTCCTGTTATCTCTGTACCTCATTCCTAGACCACACTACCATCCAGACAAATCTTAGGACAAGTTCATAATCACAATGACCTACCAGAAACTGTGAAATTTATTTTTCTGCAATCTGCTTGGTTAGGTCAGGTTATGTTAATTAAAAGATATTTGTAACTAACACAACATAACCTGACCTAACCTAACTTTACCCAACCACCTCCCAAAATCAGATAAAATTAATTACAGTATTTTCTGATCATGTTTGGAAGTCATTTGCACAAATCAGCAGGAATAGTGATGTAATACCTTTGAATGTGTTTACCACTTTTGGCAACCACTAAACACTTCTCATAAAATAACAAGAATAAAACATTAAGAATGCTGCAAGCTCATGCATTGAATAGTATGCTATCTTCCTGTACCATTCTTCAACATGTAATTCCTATCTGCAAGCATACACAGTTCATGAAGTCACTCATTCGTGGCGCTGAGGGAGGGAGTGGAAGGAACAGCCCTTCAGGCGGGCAGCGTGGAAGTGAGTTTAGTAAGGGTTGAACTTAAGGTAATGACTTTGACCACACTTCAGGATACAGTATTTAATAATCACGACAAGACACAGAGTCAGATAACAGCAGATAACGGTCAAGGATTATAAGGTAGAAGTTGCTTAGTCAAAACGTCAACTCTGAATGACCACCCTTCCTTCGTCTTGTGGCACCGCTCCCAAGCTCTGCCTGATCCACCATCAGATAAGCTTCTGTGCATGGGCTCTCTAGACGGTCAAGGTGATTCCAGGGTTTGTCCGCTAGATGTCGCACTTGGGACGTAAGTGGACTAGCTTACTCTCCCCCCCCCCTAAAAAAAGCTGCGGTCGGTCAGACAGAAAAGAAAGAGATAGAGAACACAGATCGCAAAAAACATATGGCCCCGTAATGCTATGCGCGCACCGCGTATGAATGTTCCTGTTGCACTTTTGTGTCGGTAGGTTGCCATTGGCTGGGCTGAACATACGGGTGGTCCATGCGCGTATTCCAAACCTCCGGCGGCGGACGCATCACGCTCGGTTGGGCGTAAGCGTGATCCGGCGGAAGCCCCTGCAGTTTTTGCGGTTTTGCGGCTGGGATGATTGTCACGTGGGCCTCAAATCTGGGTTCTGGGGGTTGTGGTAGCCCGTGGTAGGGCAACAGCTCCCACGCGTTAACACGTCCCACATTCTTTCTCGCTCCTACCCAATACTCTCCCTCTCCACGGTACGCGATGACCATAAATGGCCCAAATTTTTGAACACGGATCCGGCGGTTGGCTGCATGGTGTTCAGTGCTGGCAAGACGTGGCTGCACTGCAAACCACTCCCCGGGACTGAAATGCCGCCATTTGCCCTGGCTTTCCTGTTGGATAAAGGAAGTACAAACCTTCTGGTTAACCATGGGGATTTGCTGGAGTTTATCGGCAATGTTGCGTTGTGGAGCATTGAACTTCTCATCCGCTGTCAGCTTAACAGGCACCCCAAACATGGCCTCACTGGGTGGGACCCCGGTAGAGGAGTGGAGGGTATTGTTGTATGCTTGAGTGGATGCTGCAAGAGTATCGGCCCAGCACTGGTTGTCCCGTCCATCCGTCGCCTTTGCCTGGATGTGGGCTAACGAGCAGATGGCTCTTTCACAACAGCCATTGCCCTTGCTGTGTGATACTTGGGCTATATGCTGCTGAACGTCATTATCGCGGAGAAAACGTTTAAAGGACTTAGCTCAAAATACCAAATCACAATCAGTATGCACCAGGTCAAACAATCAAAACTGTCTAAAGATTTTGGCTAAGAAGGGGATCACGGTTGTTGTATCTGCCTTCCGGATTGGGTGGGTGATCATGTATTTTGAAAAATGATCCACCGCCACGATTGCATAGCGGTATTGTTCCTTGGTAAGCGGAAGGGGGCCGTAGAAGTCCATGGTCAAGAGTTCCCGAGGTTTCGTCAAGGTAATGGATGTGAGATCAGTGTCAATGGACTGGGTCGGGATGTTGTACTGGAAACAGAGCGGACAGGCATTGATGCGCTTCCATGTATCCTGTCGCATTGTCTTCCAGCAAAAACGGTCTTTGAGTGTGTTGTAGACCTTTTTCCAGCCGGCGTGGCCCAGTTCATGATGGTAGGCATCAATGATCTGGTTGAAGTTGGCAGGGTCGGGGCTGACTCGGGCGTCGATTTGATTGAGGGCTGCTCGGCTCAGTGCATCGGGTCCCTGTAACATCTTTCCTGGTCTATACAGGAGTTCAAAGTCAAAGGACGCAAGTTTGCTCTGTATAGCCGTATCAATCGTTTGGTCTGTAAGATACCTAAGAGAGCCTTATGATCTGTACTGACAGAAAATTTACGGTACTCTAAGTAATGTTGAAATTTCTTAGTAACACTCCATACTATTGCTAGCAACTCGCGTTCAGAATTGGTATACCTTGTTTCTGTATCCGTTAAGACCCTACTTGCATATGCAATGATCCGTGGCTGATCCTGTGGGTCGCGTTGAATGAGGACTGCGCCTAAGCAAGAGGCCGACGCATCACAATGGACTTCCAGGGGTAGATCCGGATCTATGCGTTCGAGTTTGGTGGTTTCTGCCAGCTTGTCCTTGATAAACCGGAATGCCTGATCTGTGGTGTCGTTCCAATGCAGTCGTATGGCTGGTTTTTTGGGGATAATGGCGCGCAGGATGCGTTCTTGCTCCGCGAAATTCATCGGGAGGTGCGCCCACAAATACGTGGCCATTCCGATGAACCTCTGCATTTGTCAAGTGGTCTTGGGTCGAGGGTAGTTTCGGGCAGCTTTGACGTTCTTTTCTGCCAGGCGGGTACCTGTTTGATCTATTTCATGGCCCAGAAAGATTATCTTTTGTGCCAGAAATTTTGATTTCAGGATGTTGATAGCTGCTCATCCTGCCCTGGAAAGGGTCTTCAGTACTGCGCAAAGGTTGTTGCACAATGCTTCAAAGGATTCGCCGAACACAATGACATCATCTGCGTATGCCAGGCACCTGAGAAAAAGATGCTGTTGCAGAATAGTGTTAATGGCTCTTTGAAACAAGGGTGGTCTGGTTTTAAGACCGAATGGGAGCACCCGGTACTGCATTTGTCCTCACGGCGTTGTAAAAGTGGTCTTAGGTTGGTCGGCATGCGCTAGCGGCAGATGATGAAATGCCAAATGCAGGTCCATGGTGCAAAAGTATGCGTTGTTTTGCCCCAACGCGTCCAGCAATTCCTGTACTACCGGAGTAGGATA